CTCCTTGTGGCCCTCGTCGGAGGCGTCTCCGCCCATCAGCGAGCGCTTGTGCGAGGTCACAGAGTATTGGTGGGTTTCGATGCTGCCCTCCGCACCGTAGGCAATGCCATGGGAGCCAAGAGGGGCCTGGTCGTAAGCGGAGTGGATGGAGGACGAGAACAGCGGATCCCAGCCCAGGGGGAGGTAAGAGGTCGACACCACCTTCACGAAGTACATGTAGTTGTATCCGGGCTCGTTTGTCTCCTGCTTGGTACCGTCCAGAGGGTTGGTGTGGTGGTGGTCAGTCCATTGCCAGCGATCAGAGAGCTCGTCAGGAAGCTGAGGTCCAAACCGCAGCTGGTGGATCTCGTGAGTCATGGTGTGTTTCTCAGCATCAGGTAGATCGGCGTCGAAGAAGTTTGCGAGGTCATGGACGTGCATGTTTCCGCTGGTGAAACTGCGACCCGGAGCAATGTGGAAGTTGCCGACCACCTTGTTCACACGGAGGACACCCTCAAGGCGGCAGCCCTCGCGGCGTTGCGCATCGATGCGCTCCGCGTAGCCCTCAAGCTCACACTGCTCAACGTTTTCGCCCTTTCCGAATGCCCATTGCTGCTGTGCGTAGGCCTCACGAACTTCGTCGCAGGTGTTGCAGCATCCAGGTTTGCTTGCACCGGCGGGAGCAGTCGCGCCGTAACATTCACCACAGTAATCGGGGTCGAGATGCTTGGCACTCTCATCCTTGGAGTGACTAGGGGATTCAGTGTTAGCGGTGCAATTGGCATTGACAAGAGCGGATTGAGATTGCAACTTACAGCTCCAGGGCCTTGACGTCGATGACGCGGCCCCCTTCTGCGGCAGAAGTAAGGCGCACCTTGTTGATACCGTGGACAACACCGGTCTGTTGCTCGCCAGAGACATCCATAACATCCAGAGTCAGGAGCTCACAGGGAAGACGAGGGAAGGTCACGTTTAGGTGAATCTCCATCTTCTCGCCTGTACGAAGGGTTCATTAGCCATCGAGTCGTGCCTGGCCGTCCAGCAATCGCTAAGCCATTCTTACCTCTTGATTTATCAACCACCAATTCGGGCATAACAACCACCCGCCTGTAATCCGCCCATTCACCCCACACAAGCCACAGGATGACCAGCAACGAGGCTATGGTGATGACACCTCCGGATGTGGTACGGACGCGCGCATCCTCCACTGTTTTAGCAAAGGCATCTAGCCTTGTGAATCGCGATTTCGCCGGCATTTCTCTAATTGATCGACATGAATACGAAGGAGTGTTTGGGGATATAGACAAAGGATCGTTGGTCCGACTAAAGACCAGCTAGTGCCCGCGGGAATGAAGCCTGTTGGAGAGAACCGTATGTAAGCTGAATAGTTCAAGGAAGGATCAATGGATGGGGAGGAATGAAGACGAGGGCAAACATACGCGGACCAAGTCGGATAAAGGGAATGAACAAGGACGGGAAGTCGCGATTTGCGCACGACTTAGGATGATCAACAAGCAGACAGTCCTTGGGGAAACAGGCCGATGGAAGCTCCAGCTGTCCTGTTAATGAAGCGGAGAAACAGCCACTCCTCCGATGGATGCCACTACCAGATCGGGACTAGCCGCGTAATTGTCTCTGCCCACTTTGGTGCATCGGTATTGTGTATTACCGCCCGTGCCAAAGGACAGACTACAGCCTCTGATTGGTCAATCGCCCGGTGCCTGGTGCACAATCACGTGGTGGGCCTGCGCTTGGCCGCACACGTGACTATGCACAGCTTCGCGGGCACTGCTTTTGGTGGTTCAACGTCACTTTTTCTGCGCTGACTCCATCTTCTTGCTTCTCTTCCTTCCCTCTCATAACACCACTCCTCCGCATTGAGGTTCGCAGTTGCTTAACTGGGACCGTTCTCGATTTCTCGATTATCGCATCGAGTATCTCTCTCGCTTACACTCCTTCTTCCTATTCCTTCCTACGAAACCTCTTCGAATCGATCGTTGTATGTTTTATTGATCCGATCTCGAACTACTAAAGGCGAGCAGCGCTCGTTTCGCCTCCACAACACTCAACTTCTACCATTCTCTCCTTCGCCCTCTGTCCTCATACAAAACGTTACTACGGGGAAAAAAAACATCGCCTCTCTCAGCATGAAGGGCGGAAAAGGATCTCGCGGTCGCTCGGGGGGTTCGGATCGTGGGGGCATCCGCAAGCGGGGTGCTGCGACCCGGGTCGATCGAGAAGGTGATCTGATGATGGATGCTGGCTCTGCACGAAATCGTGGAAAGAAGGGTCGTGGCGATTCTGGCCGGTCGCAGGCAGCGAACAAAGCCATGGATGCGATCCAGAAGGCCATCTCCAGCAACTCAGACACTCAAGCGAACATCCGACAAGGAGGACGGGGAGGTGGTCTGGAACAGGTTATTGTTCGTGGCTGGAAGCAAAGCAAGGCAGCATCTAACCGCGACGGCGGTCTCGAATCCCTCATCGCCTTCCTCGAGAAAAAACTCAGCCCACCCGACTCGAAAGCTGGCACACGCGCAAGGATTACAAAGGTATGTGCAACACCAGAACTGGCGGTCACCGACATCAATTATCAGCTTCGTCCTCTCCGATGTGCTCTCGTTTGCAGGGGTGGTGCGTTCAGAACGACGATCGGCACTTTCTTAGTCTCTCCTGGCGTTTGTTCTTTTGGATGAATGGCGCGGCTCGCAAGGTCCCTTATGCCTTACTAACGTTCATTAGTCGCGGGTTGAAGGCGACGCTCTTATCGTCTCTATTCGGCCGGAGTTGTTGGAAAGGATGCTTCAGCTCAATGGGTTTAGTTTTGCAGGTGCCCCTCTTATCACCGAAAAGTATGACCCATCTACTGGTGGGTTGCTGGACCAGCCTATGCTGTCTGCTATGGCACAGAATGGCGGCACATCCTCTGCTGCCGAGACCAAGGCGAAAATGACGACAATTCTCGGCAAGCGCTACACCCAACAGACAAAACTACTCGATCTTTCGAAATTGGGAACCGATCCGGATCTCTTGGCTATGGGAATCTTCGGCAGCACCTCCACCGAGTCGAAATTCTTCCCGGCACTGATGAAGGTTTGGGAGCTGAATTTCGACAATGCCACGGCGCGTCGAGAGGCAGTGGAGAGTGTCAGTCTCGCTCATAATCAGCTTGCCAACATCACAGCTGTGACGGCACTAGCGTCGACAATTCCAGACCTGAAAAATCTGGATCTTTCCAACAATGATTTCAAAGATGCGCAATCCTTGATTGGATGGCGCTGGAAATTCCGCAATCTCGAGTTTCTCGATCTCTCAAACACTCCGTTCAGCGCCGACCCTACTTTCAAGGATACCATGTTGAAGTGGTATCCCAAGCTCCGGTTCCTGAACAATGTCGAAGTCCGTACCGCAGAAGAAATAGCGGCGCAGAAGAAGACGCCGATTCCTGTGCAGCCACCGCACTTCCAGGACGACTCTCAGATCGCAGAGAACTTTGTTAGGGCTTTCTTCGCGGGCTACGACAACGACCGAAGCGGCATTCTCAACAGTGTCTACGACAACCACACGACGTTCACTCTCAATGTGAATACATCGGCTCCTAGGGCCCAACAAACAGAAACAGCGCCCTGGGATGCGTATATCAAGAAAAGCAGAAACCTTCTCAAGATCAGCCATCTTCCTGCACGCATGTCTAGGGTATACACCGGTGCGGAGAAAATCCGTGAGTTGTGGACTAGTCTTCCTGCGACCAGGCATCCTGACATTGCGACGCGCCCGGAAGAATGGCTTATCGAGTGCTACCCTATCCCGGGTCTTCCTGATATTTCCGGGCAGAGCTCCACGGGTGTTGGTGGACTTCTCATCATGGTGCACGGGAAGTTCGATGAGATTAATGGGGCCAAGGTTGAAACTCGCAGTTTCGATCGGACATTCATCATCGGGCCCGGTGGTGGTATGGGCGGAATCAGGGTCATCAGTGATATTCTCTGCTTGCGAGCCTATGGTGGACACGAGGCATGGATTCCTGAGGTCCCACCAGCCGTACCCCAAGCTGCACCTCCAGCTGCACCAGCACCAGCACCCGCAGCCCCTGCAGCCCCTGCGGCACTACCAGTAGCCATTCCGGGTGCTCCCGAAGGCTACGGCATGCCAGCGCCTGGAAAAGCAGACGCACAAGTCCAGCAAGAGCAGCTAGTACTTCAGATGAGCTCTAATACTCGGATGACCCTCCAGTACTCTGAGATGGCTTTGTCTGGAAACGGCTGGAATATGGAGGCTGCACTGAAGAACTTTGAGGAACTTAAGGTAAGTTCGAAGTGTATTCTCCATCTACGATCATGCGCTAACAAGCTTTTGCAGGCGCAGGGAACATTGCCTCCGGAGGCTTTTCTACCCGCAGCAGCGTAGTTTGACCCAGGAGGACAGGGCCAAATACGAAAAGAACAAAAGAAAAAGAAAAAGAAAAATAAGAAGATATACCAAATGGACGGGGAACAACTTCTTGAGCGACTCTCTCCCAGACTTGTCTGGTCTTCGCATCCCCGACTCTCGTCGGGAGGTTCCTGGTGGTGTTTGATCGGAGTCAACTGTCTCTTTATTTGTGATTTGCTGATGCATGGCTTGGGCGAATGGCTTCGGAGCTCGTTACAATTGCTTTAATTTTCTTTCGTTGTACACTAAAAGACTACGATGATTTTCATGTCCATATAGACGAGACCTGCGGTACAAGGGATGGCCTAAATCATAACAGAAACCTAGGGTCGATTCTAGGGGGAGGAATGGCCTCCAGATTGATACCACTTGACCTATCCATCTATCTGTCTGAGTAGCTTGTAGACTTGGCTTTTATAAACTCGTCGGATTATCTTGCGCAGGTCCTGGTCCCGACGAACAAACAAGAGGCGATGACGAGGCCCGGCGGCGCGGGCAAAGCGCTAAGACTAAGAGCTGCCCGTGACTGACTGATTGACGGAGCCGGACTGAGTTGTCGCCAACTTCCCGACCTGCGGCTCCGGCGTCAACAACCTCCCCCGCGGTCCTTACAGCTTGTCATTTTCAGGTTCTTTTCGCTCCTTTGGTAGCCCTTGCTCTTGGGTCTATGTTTACATGTTGAATTGGCGGATGCCCCTTAGCTGGCATTGCAGCATGTGTCTGGCGTTGACGCTCAGGAGCTAATGGAATGTCCGCCACTACTACCACCACCACCCCCGGCCAAATGCCCTCCAACGGAGAGGCCCCCCTCGATCCTTTGGATGCAGGTGAGGGCTGCCATTGACAACCTATCCCATCGGGGAGCTTGCTAATAGACCCAATGTCATAGCGGACTATGATCCGATCGACCATTTGAACGCAATCTTTTCCCACCCCTCCACATTGTCGTCGGTATCCCAGGTCTCCCAGTCCCTCCGCGAATATGAGGACGAGCTCGACAACGATATCGGCGCACTGGTAGAGGACCAGGTCACTTCCAATGCGGAGAGCGTCGAGCGCATCCAGGCCGCCAAGGCCGACTTGACCGAACTGTTCAAGAAGATTGACGATGTGCGCGACCGCGCGTCCAGGACGGAGCTGGCCATTACGGAGATGACGGCGGATATCAAACAGCTGGATAATGCGAAGAAGAACCTCACGCTGTCGATGACGGTCCTGAAGAGACTGCAGATGCTAACGACAGCCTACGACCAATTACGTTCTCTGGGCCGGACGCGGCAGTACCGCGACTGTGCTCAGCTGCTACAGGCGGTCATACAGCTGATGGCGCATTTCAAGTCGTATCGCTCGATCGATCAGATTGCGCTGCTTAGTCGAAACGTTGCGGATATACAACGGGAGCTTCTGGAGCAGGTCTGCGAGGACTTCGAGTTGGCGTTCGCAAAAGGGGAAGTTGGCCAAAAGAGGCACGTGCTCTCGGAGGGCTGCTTGGTCATGGATGCGCTAGGTGATCACGCGAAGTCCAGGTTAGTGACTTGGTATTGCAACTTCCAGCTACGTGAATATCGCCAGGTTTTCAGGAACAACGAAGAGGCCGGATCACTGGACAACATCTCGCGGCGGTATGCCTGGTTTAGGCGGATCTTGAAGAACTACGATGAGGAATATGCGCCCATCTTTCCCGCATCCTGGAGGGTCAACGAGATTCTGGCGAACATTTTCTGCGAGGGCACGCGAGAGGACTTTAAGGGCATTCTCTCTCGATCGGTGCGCAATGGCCAGACCATCGATGTTAATCTGCTACTGTCTTGTCTACAAGAAACATTGGACTTTGAGCATTCTCTCGAGCGGCGGTTTGTCAGTCCATCCCGGCCTTCAACGGATACGTTCGCCTCGAGTGAGGCACCAGTCTTCGGTCAAGCCATCTCAGAGGCGTTCGAGCCCTACCTGAGCGTCTGGGTAGAAGCCCAGGACAAGCAGCTGGCTGCGCTTATCCCTAAATACCGGCAACAACCCGCGAAGCCACCGGATGAAGAATTCGACTCGCACATCGTTATATCCTCTTCCACCGATCTTTTCACGTTCTATCGGCACTCGTTGCAGCAATGCGCGAAGCTATCTACTGGTGCCAGCCTTGCGGAGCTGGCTAAGGTATTCGCGAAGTATCTCGATCAGTATGCACAGGTCCTGCTTTATTACATTAGTGAACGGCCTACAGGCCACACTCCCTCAAAGGTGCCAGGTACCGAGGACCTTATCCTAGTGCTCAACACCGCGGACTATTGCTATACGACCTGCAACCAGTTAGAGGAAAAGATCAAGGGTAGGCTGGACAAAAATCTCAAACAGTCGGTGGACCTACAAAGTCAAGCGGACTCATTCATGGGCATTGCATCTGCAGCTGTTCGAGGGCTGGTGCGTAAGGTCGAGATTGACCTGGAGCCCTGCTGGCGGGAAATGCGCAACACACCCTGGAACCGGCTGGAGGGCGTAAGCGATCAAAGCTCCTATGTCGGCGAGCTGATGTCCAAGACACAGACAAGATGCTCTGAACTGTTGCAGCTGCTGCATAAGCAGCAGTATGCCCGTGCATTCGCAGACCATGTTGTGGAGCTGATATCGAACGTATTCATTGCGACTATCTTCCAATGCAAGCCGGTCGCGGAGACCGGTGCTGAACAGGTGGGCTCACTGCCATAGCTGTCATCGTGACGTTCGTTGAAACTAACAGATGTTATTAGATGCTTCTGGACGCCTACACCCTCAAGACTGGCCTCTCATCGCTCCTTCCCAGCCCCGCGCCAGCGGGTTTTGTAAAGCGCGTCAACGCCAGCTTCGCGAAAATTGAAGCCCTCCTCAAGACCCTCCAAGTTCAACCGTCTCCTCCCGAGGCCCTTGTCCAGGCCTATCTGGTTCACATCGCAGACCAAAACAACGCCAATTTCCGCAAGATCCTCGACCTCAAGGGCATCCGCAGTCGCCAGGAACAGAACCACCTCATAGAACTCTTTCAAATCCACCGCGCATCTGATCGCTACGCAGCAAATCTCCAGCAGAGCAACCCTATCCTGACCGCCATGCAGGCCTCCGCAACACCTTCCTCCGGCACCGTCTCGCAGGGTCTCGGCCTCGGCACGGCCGCAGCATCCATCGGCGCCTCCACCCGTTTCGACCCTACCATGCTTGGGTCCGCCATCATCTCCGCCGCCAAAGACGGTGTAGATCGATTCGGGACGCCGATGAGCTCAGCCAACACGACCAACCTGACCCCAGGTGGCGGCGCCATATCCGGCGCCTTGACCAGCCCGGCCTCTACCCCTGGGCCGTTAGGACAGGCACAACCCCAAGGCGGGGAAAGCACGACCGCCGCTGGGAACCTGAACGAGAATCTAAAGAATATTGGGAAATTCTTCCGTCGTGATCTCGGTGGGTTTGGAGGCAGGTTTGGACGGAGTGGTGATGATGGCAATTGATACTACTTTTTATGTATATTTTACACCCTTCTTAGCGAATAGCATATATCATGTGTATTTGACCATCGTTTTGTATTTATATTGCCCATTCGCTTCGTAGCTCTATTCCAATATCATACATTGAGACCACCGTTTGAGGCCGAAAGCCCCTTGTCTGGTTACTTCTACCCACTACCACCACTCACCTCATAGAAAAGTACTACCGAAATCGCGTGTCTTACTTCTAGCATCAACTCAAACTTGATAATTAACCCTAGTACGAAAATAACCCGTGATATTATCAATACACCACTATATACATAGTAACGTACTCATATCCAGCCGCTTTCAGCTCCTTTCCTTATACCCTTATTAACTAAGTATCTAGCAAGCCAGCTAAATCGTAAGTTATCCCTACCCAAAACAACCCAGGTTAAGTAGTAACTACCCGTCCAATGTAACTCCTCCCTACCCACAATCTGAGGACATATACCGAATTCTTCGACCGGCTGACATAACCTCTGTCTTCATGGTGTAGTTGGTTATCACGTGGGTCTCATATCAATCATTGAATATGACTAGGAAACATACATTTCCTGGATATCCCAAGGCCGGGAGTTCGAACCTCCCTGAGGACAGTTCTTTTTTCTTCTTTTGATTTGAAGAAATTTTGTGGTGGAGGGGTAGTGGGGGTGGTGGTTATGCGGGCCGAGATGGGGCAGGTAAATACCATGTTGGTGTGGTAGATTTTGAGTGTTGTGTGTGGAGGTATTTTTTTATTTTAATTTATTTTTATTTTTATTTTTTACTTTTTCTTGCCCTGGTGTCGAGTATGAACGATTGCATGGCGAAGCGAGGGAGGAAGTTTAGATATCGCAATTTATTTACGGATACCATGAGGTAGATAGATGTTGGCATAGGGGGTGTATAGCCATTGGTCTCAAGATTACTCTATATCGCTACACGGAGGTCTGAACCCAGAAGCATGATATACCCAAGCCGTGCTGTGTAGTCTATAAACTAAGAAACGCTCAACCCTCCGACATGTTTTCCCGGAGTCAAGAAAGGGAAAAAGAAGCTGACTCATATAACATCGTCTCATCACTCATCAAGTCCCAGAAGGCCCCATTCCCAATGACAGAAAAAGGAAAAGAGAACATTATAGTATGGGTAACCACTGCGTGATGAGGATGATGATGATGGTGGAAAACGCATCCAACGAAAAAGGAATCTCCATTTCATCTCCCGAATCTTAGTGCAAACGCCATCGCAGAAATAAGTCATCGCGCGAACATAACAGAACCGAGCAGTACCGGGGCCGAAACCCCTCACATGGTATCATAAGCGAATTTCATCAAGCCCCAGCACAACATCATCACTCCTCATCTAAACCCCCCGTTTACTGCGATGCGCACTGCACACGCTCAGCGCCAGGAGGAACATCCTCGTCATCCTCGTCCATGGCGCTGGCGGCACCGTGTGCGCGAGCCTGAGACGACTCGCTGCCATCAATGTCCTCCAGCTCAAAGTCCTCGATCATGGCGTCCTGCGGGGGCTGGGACTGCTCCATACGAGGAGGCAGGACCTGCTCGAGCAACTCGAGGTTCTTGAGCTGATCCTTCTCGGGGAACTTGACATCGAATTGGATGTAGAGGTTGCCGAAGTCGTGGTGGCGGTAGGAAGGCATACCCTGACCCTTGATAACCTTGATAGCACCTGCAGAGACAACGTTAGACTGATGCGCTGAAGTCGAGGCTGGAAGGGGGAAGCACATACCAGGAGTGATGACCTCGCCCGGAGCGACGGTCACGGTCAACCACCGGTCATCAAGGTGCTCAATGTTGATGGTACCACCGCCAAGAGCAGTGAGCAGGTCGATCTCGGCCTGGTAGAAGAGGTCGTCGTCCTTGCGCTGGAAGCGGGGGTGGGGCTTCTGCTCAATCTCGAAAACAACGTCGCCGGGCAGAACACCGGGCATCTGGTCACCCTCGCCGCGGAATTCAATCTTGTGGCCGTTCTTCACACCACGGTCAACGTGGACGTGGAGAACCTTGCGCTCCACGGTGGTCTTCTTGCCGTTACAGCGCTTGCAGCGGTCCTTCTCACGGATGATCTCGCCCTCACCATTGCAGTCGGGGCAAACCGTCTGGAAGCGCTGTATCATGGGACCCATCTGGCGCATCATGGTCTTCATACCGGAACCATTGCAGCCGGTACACGACTTGACAGCACCCTCCTTACCACCGCGACCATCACAACCCGGGCAAATGACTGACTTCTGCAGAGCCAGCTTCGAGACCTTACCGCGGTAGATATCCTCGAGGTTGACCTTGTGAACGTGGTGGATGGTACGAGCCTTCTTGGGGCCCTGGTCACGCATGCCACCACCGAACATGCCACCGAAACCACCACCGCCGCCGAAGAACTGAGCAAAGAGGTCCTCGGCGCCCATGCCACCACCAGCACCGCCATGCTCAAGACCCTCCTCACCAAGCTGGTCGTAGAGGCTACGCTTCTGGGGATCGGAGAGGGTCTCGTAAGCGGCAGACAATTCCTTGAACTTCTCAGCGGCTTCGGGGTTGTTTGTGTTCTTGTCTGTAAAGATATCGCGTTAGTAAAGACCCCTAGATCTTTCGTGAAAAGCACCGCTTTCGCGATTCAAGTTGACTTACCAGGGTGGTACTTCAGGGCACCCTTCTTGTAGGCAGTCTTGAGTTGGGCCTCAGAGGCCGTCGGGGGAACCTAACCGCCTCACCGTTAGTTTCTGTGACGTGCAAAACCAGCCAAACTTGGCGAAAACCCAGAACATACCCCCAGGATGTCGTAGAACTTAGTTTCCTTGACCATTGTGATCTGTGTCTAGAAGAGAGAAAAAAAAAATCGAAAGGCGAAAGTTGGGCGACGGGGAGAAGCCGAGGGAAAATATAGAAGAAACAAGAACTTTTCGGAGGGACGAGACGGGGCAATCCGATCCTAGAAAACCTTACACCGGGGTATGGAACAGGCGAAACAAAGAGGGCTCGAAACCAAGGAGTGTAGAGAAATCCTTGAAAAAGAGGGAGGAGTTTGAGGAGACGAGGGGAGAGGAGTCTCGAAGGCGTGAGGGGGGGAACAAGTAAGAGGTGGAAGGAAGAAGGAAGAGTTGGAGAGAGAGAGGGTCCGTCCGGGTGATAATCAAAGCCAGGAGAGCGAGAGAGAGAAGAGAGAAAGCGGCGACAGGGCGGCGGCTGAGACAAGTGAGAGGGTATCGTATGTGTAATCTGATTACCAGGACCAGGCACCAATCGACCTTTGATTTGCCGCACGAGCGCAGTGAAGACTCGCCAAGAGTTTCAAGATGGGCGTATCAAATACCGGAGATACGATGGGGCGAAACTCCGGGAGTATAGAAATGCTGGAGAAGATGAGCGACCGCGCTTCAACTGGCTGGAACTGGAATTATATAGAAAAAGGTGGATAGTGGTTCTGAAAAGATCAGATCTTAACATGAAAGGAGAGATCGTCGTATGCTTTTGAACAAATTGGCATGTCCACGATGACAACGTCTCAGGCTGAATGGAGTTGTTCTCTTTGCTTCGACAAGCCCCGTCACCCGCAGCCTTGATGGCCCGAGCGTGGCTTCCGACTGCTTCGATGCGATTCTGTGTCCTTCCACCGCTTTCGCACCCTTTCCATCGCTGACAATCGCCCTGGTAATTACCGGTTCGTGACCACAGAGAGCGTTGGTTGCATCCCATTTCTGGATGTCTGACCAAGTGTATCACCGGGACATTTCTATCTCGTTCGATACTACAGTAGGGAGGGGTGGTCCTAAGTAAGCTGGTTCTTTCATGCCTCGGTAGGATGCGGCAAGGTCTGCCTGGGTATTACGGTCCAATCATACACCATTCACGGGGATCTTCGTCTTCATACCATTTACTAAGTACTACTACTACTTACTGCGGTGTAGTGTGTAGCATCCCTCCATCCACCATCACTACTCATCATCTTACGTGTATAAAATACCTACCCAGTGTATTACATCCGGAAAATCCAAGCACAAAAAAAAAGAAAAAGAAAATAAGGGAACCGTAAAATTAAAGTTTGATGTAGCCGCCCGGATCTGCCTTGTCTCCCAAGTCAGATTCTTTTCTTCCTGGCACACAGCGCCATTTGCCTCAGGCACTTGGGATTGTGGCGGGCGGTGGTTGATTGCCGGCTTATCGATAAGGAGAGGCGATTAGCTCGATGCGGAAGGAGGGGAAGAAAAAAGCCTGTCGGGATTCCCCACCTGGAGATTCGTCGCGATCCCCAATTGCCGGCTGGCTTCGGTTCAACTGGCTCATGCCTGGTGTACTCTACTGTGCTTCTGCTGCAGCAGAGGCAATTAATGGTTCAGTTCCAGAGTACCAGATAGAAATTGGCTTCTGTGGTTCTTGCCATGATCGTGGATCAGAGGTTCAGAAAACAATCTCTGCGATAAGAGGATAAACTAGTGAATAGTGCGTGGCATGGGGTCTGCGCGGGATGAACCCCGAGTTTATCAGCCACTGCCAGTTTGATCTTGTAAATAGTGAAATTGTGAATTGATGGTTACAAGTGATAAGGACGTTACCATCGGGCTCTACACATCTAGATCGGATGTCTCATATACAATCAGCTCAATTTGTATTCAGTTATAGTTGTATACAAGGCATGAAATATTAAGCATCTTTCTTACGCTTATGCATGTCGATCCCCAAGCACACCAAAGAAGCACTTTATGCATACCATAACCCAAGAAAGTCAATCACATGCACACATTCTCCATGAAAATACTATTCAATACGAATGTAACAACGTCCTCTACCAGTCTCAATGACAGCAGCTATCTTGTTATCATGGAGCTCCGCACGTTCAGCCCGATGCGGGTCAGTCCGGCAGTTAACCACACAGAGTTTGCTCCGTCTTGATGCTACCCCATCTTTCTATCTCTCTCCCAATTACCCCTCCAATCGCTCTATATTTCATATCTCAATACAGCATACAACAAACACATACCATCATGGAGACCGATCCTGGATTCATCGCTGCTGTGGAAGAAGCCAAGCAAGGCGCTGCTGAGGGTGGTGTGCCCATTGGAGCTTGTTTGGTCTCCAAGGATGGCAAGATTCTAGGCCGCGGCCACAATATGCGCGTCCAGAAGGGTAGTCCCGTGTTGCATGTTCGTTGATCCCATCCCTTGCCTTCTGGGGGTCGTCCGGGCTTTTAATTCTAACTTCTACGGTCATAGGCTGAGATGTCCGCGCTCGAGAACTCCGGTCGTCTGCCCGCTTCGGCCTACGAAGGCGCTACTATGTACACGACCCTGTCGCCATGCGACATGTGCACCGGTGCCTGCATCCTCTACAAGGTTAAGCGCGTTGTTGTGGGCGAGAACAAGAGCTTCATGGGTGGCGAGGACTATCTTAAGAGCCGTGGGAAGGAGGTTGTGGTTTTGGATAATGCAGAGTGTAAGCAGCTGATGGAGAAGTTCATGAAGGAGAAGCCGGAGCTTTGGTAGGTTTCCCATGCATCTCATTGGACTGGTCTAGTCTTTTGTTGGAATGTACGCTGACTGTACGATGTCTTTGCAGGAACGAGGACATTTCCGTCTGAGCTTTTGAATTTCGTGAAGGTGTCAACTATATTGCTGGCTAGGCTCTCATGTACATAATAAAGAATTGAAAGCTAGTTCTGGTCGCATTGAGCACCCAATTTAAACCGTCAGACGGTGGATCTCTTCGAAGAAGAACTTGAGATCATCCGGGTTGACGAAAGGAGTCACACCTGTAAAACATTAGCATTTATTGAATAAACCAGCAGTGGCAGTGCTTACCGTGACCCAAGTTGGCAATCCAGCCTTGCTTGCCCTTCTCAAATCCCCGGACCATAGTCTCCACAGCCTCCGTGATAGCCTCGCGACCTCCATAGAGAACACCGGGGTCGGCATTACCTTGGATCGTCACACGACCATTGGCAATCCGCCTAGCCTCAGCGGGGTCGTGCAGCCAGTCCAAGCCAACAACATTGTAGCCCGACTCGCAGAGATCCTCAAGACCAAACCACGCACCCTTCGCGAAGACTGTCATCGGAACAGGCTCCAGACCCATCTCCTTCAGCTTCTTCGGCAGATTCGCCGAAATGTGACGCAGGTAGGGAAGAGAGAATGACTTGAAGGCGGCCGGAGACAGCTCACCCGCCCAGGAATCGAAGACCTGTACCAGCTGAGCACCAGCAGCAACCTGAAGCGCCAGGTATTCAACACAGATCTCGGCGATCTTCTGCAGGAGAGCCTGCGACTCCTTGGGGTACTTGTAGATCCACTTCTTCGACTGGACGAACAGTTTCGTGCCGCCTCCCTCTACCATGTAGCACAGCAGAGTCCACGGGGCACCGCAAAAGCCGATCAACGGCACACGACCCTGCAGCTTGTGGCGGGTGAGGGTAATGGCCTTGTAGACGTAGTCGAGCTCCGACTTGACATCCACATCCTTCTGCATCACTTTCTCGTACTGTCCATCATCGGGCGACTGGAGCGGCTCGGGGAAGTGGGGTCCCTTCTTGTCGACCATCTCAACCTGCATTCCCATGGCCTGGGGAATGACAAGAATATCGGAGAAGATGATCGCAGCATCGATGAGTCCGGCGTAGCGGTCGATGGGCTGGATCGTCAACGTCGATGCGACTTCGGGGTCGCGGCAGCATTCGAAAAAGTCGCGGCCGGCTTTGGCTTCATGGTATTCGGGGAGATAACGGCCAGCTATATAAGAAGCACAATGTGGTCAGTTATAAGAGAGACATACTTGGATCCGGGACTCGTAAGAGTGCGAAGAGAGCAGTTTGTAGAGAGAGGCGTACCTTGCCGCATAACCCATATCGGAGGACGCTGGACTTTCTCGCCTGCAATGATATCAGTCCCATCTCTTTGAATATAATGGTTTAAAATCAGAATTACCCCTAGCAGCCCTCAGCAAGAGGTCGTTCTTCAATGGCTCGAATTGATGCTGCATTTTGATGTGGGATGTGTGAGTGATGGAGGGGACCTTGCGGAGGAGGGGCCTTCGACATGCAAGTCCTGCCACCGTTCGCGGCCTCGGGCCGGAACTCGACTGGTCGTCCGTGGCTCAGGTAAGCTTCAAGCCGTTCGCAAGTCTGGAACATCTGCTTACTCTACTTCGATTAAGATGGCATAATTTACGCAGCTCGAGAATAACTATGGGGCAATGCGATGTTGATTTCATTGACATGTATGTGCTATAGGTACCGAGAATATTCCTCCCTCGCGCCCCGACAGCGACGACCAATACAATGCCCAACAAATCCCTCGCAACAAACAACAGCCTCAAGTACTACGCTCTTCTAGTCGCTACTTGAACACAAACCCCAGGACAAGCTTCTGAGGTGATGAACAGCGCGACGGCCTTACGTCCGGGGCTACATTGAATCTGTGAACCTGAGAAAGCTGTTAGCTATCAGACCATTGAAAGTAATGTGTGACAAATGGCAAGTTGAATGGAATGGTGTCAGCAAAAAATTAGAGTGTTTGTTGTTGCTGTTTTTGTTCGTCAAAGCAAGTAGCTCTGGGTTAAAAATGTATCATCATATCACCGGGGAGTGGGCATGTATGCGAAGCAAGGAAAACCAAAGAAATGATTGAAGCTCACCTTTTTCAGTTCATCAGATCAGGGAACGCGACTACGTCCCTATCTAGATGAAAGAAGATCATTGTTTCATGACCATGACAATCATTTTCATTTACCCAATCGTCAAGACCGGCAAGAAAAGTATCTAATACATGGCAGTCGTATCCCGTGCAGCATTGACACGAGACGTTTAGTCGAAGAGGCCGAAGCCCATGTCCTCATCGGACTCCTCCTCTTCCTCCTTGGGAGCCTCAGCGGCGGGAGCACCACCGGCAGCAGGGGCAGCGGCAGCGGCAGGAGCAGCGGAGGCGTAAGCGTCAGGGTTGGCAATACGGTCCTTGAGCTCCTCAATCTCGGGCCAGCTGTACTCGGTCTCAACAGCAACGGCAAGAACCTTCTTGTAGCTGTTGACGAGGGAGTGCATGACAGCGGGGATAGTGGGGTAGCTGACAGCCAGGGAGATGGTGGTGATGGTGTTAATGGCGCTGGAGAAGGCCTCGAGGAGCTGAGACTCCTCAATGTCCAGGACAGCAGAGCTGAAGCACTGACCCTGGTCGTAGACCTGCTGGATGGTCATACCATAGGTGAAGGGAGAGATGTTCAGCATGTTGAGCAGGGTGGCCTCGGAGGGACCGACCTTGCTTCCAGCCTCAACGAGCTTGAGGTCGGTGGTAATTTCAATGGTACCACGAGCAATCTTGGTGGGGACACCAAGAGCCTGGAAGAAAGAGGTCTTACCGGGTTCCATACCGGTGTTACCGGCGGGGACCCAGACATCGCCAGGAGCGATGGCACCGGCACGAGCGGGAGCAGCGACACGGTTGGCAAGGATCTTCTCCTTGGTGGCCTTGAGGTCACCGTTGGTGAAGATGAAACCAACGTTACCTGTGCGGAAGGCAAATGTTAGCCAATTGACAGCGCCGCAGACTCTGGAAGCAACTTCACTTACCCTTAACGAAGGGGAGCAGACGCTCGTACTCGGGGTTGTCGTTGACGAAGCCCTTGATGGCACGGCGAACCTGGACAACTCATCAGCATGCGGAACGGGCACCGGTGGTTTCAGAGGATTATCATACCATGGTGTTCTTACCCATCAGGACGACACCCTCGCCACGGAGACTCAGACGAATCTCGTGCATCTGCTGAGAGCTGACATTGTCGACACCGACAATGAAGACCGTCTTGTACTCATCGAGAAGGGCCTTGAGCTTCTCGAAGTAAGCGGCCTTGGTAGCAGACTTGCCCCCCATGTCTCCTTAATTCGCTGAAGATAGGATGTTTAAGGGCAAGTGAAATGTTTCGACTTTCGTGGTTGTCCGATCTGAATCGTGACGATGAAGTTCGAAAAGTACGGAAGGTCGCGTCGATTTTAGGAAATTCTTAGTTGTGGCCTCGCTTGTTTTCCAGTCACGTGTGGCCCACTTTCCTCCGGCTAAGTCAGGAAGGCGGTCAGGCGCGCGGAGATGCGGCCTTGATTGCGGCGGGACATCGACTTTTTACGGCGATCTACTGCGACGGCGGAGAAGAGCCCTTGCTTCGTGCTTCTATATATCCTTGAGTTACACTATCGGTGAATTCTTCCAAGATGTCTGCGCACTTTCAACATCCCTTGCAATGCCTCCGCTTGGTACAGAGGCCAGCTGCGAACCTGCTGATAGGGTCAGCGGGCTCCAAGCTCTACTCCTACTCCGCAGAAACTGGCCAGCGGCTGGCGGTTTGGCCAGAAGATGTCGCCTCGAGTGAAACCAAGCCTGTTGATGCAGAGTCCACTCCCGAGCAGGGACCCCCAGAGAAGAAGCGGAAGGTTTCTTCGTCAGATTCCCAAACAATTGAGAAGCCTGCTTGGTCAAACATCCCCATAGTAACTGGCACTGCGAGCGGAGAGCACATAATTGCGCTTACCGCCGAAGATAAGTGCGTGCGTGTATTCCAGCTTCAGGAAGATGGTTCCTTTGTTCAATTGAGCGAGAGGTGAGTGAAATCGCAGTTCATTTACTCCAGTACACCATTCAGAAACTCATGCTTTATACAGAGTTATGCCCAAGCGACCCTCCGCCATTACCCTTACTGATGACGACGACACTATCCTGTGTGGTGACAAATTCGGAGACGTCTACTCATTGCCACTGATTCCAAGTGATAAGCTTCCTGCCATCACAAAATCCCTCAGAAGCGCAAAACTCAGCCACCCGGCGGCAACAAACCTGACCGTGCACACGAAGGGCAACCGAAGAGCTTTGGAACAACAATTGCGTCTAGCTAGCGAAGGAAAGAGGGATGAGAAGTCCTCTGGCCCGACTTTTGAACACAAAATCTTGCTTGGCCATGTGTCGCTGCTTACGGATATGGCTTATGTCTCCCTTCCGGTGGATGAAAACAAAAAGCGCAGCTACATCCTGACTGCCGACCGAGATGAACATATCCGTGTCTCCCGTGGTCCTCCCCAGGCCCACGTCATTGAAAACTACTGCTTGGGCCACACAGCATTTATCAGCAAGCTTTGCGTGCCCCAGTGGGCACCCCAGTATCTTGTATCCGGTGGAGGCGACAACTACCTGCTCGTTTGGAAATGGGCCGAAGGCCGAATCCTCCAGAAGGTTTCTTTGGTAGACGAGGCATCAGAAGCTACGGAGGTTGCAGTGCAGGGTATCTGGGCGACATCGCTCGGGGACTTGCGTATCATCCTCGTCGCGCTTCACGGGTGAGTCTTCTTTACGCCCCCCATCTATTCATTACCCAAGTACATGTTCTAACCGGAGTAGATCCTCCCGTCTGCAATGCTTCACGCTGGAATCTGACGGCACCTTGAAAACGCAAGCCTCCATCCAACTTTCCGGCAACGTCCTCGATCTTACCCCCGTCGAGAAAGACAACACTATCCTTGTCTCCGTCGACTCTATCCGCCAGCCGGACTCAACTCAAGAATGGAGAACCAGCCCCTCCTCCCCCTCCACCCTAATTGAAGCATTCCACTTCAAGTCAGGCACTAATAGCTTGGAATGGGAGCCGACCGCGGCATCCGTGACCGACAAGATCAACTCCACCGGCACGGAAGAAGTCCCAGCAACCACAGAGGAGAAGCAACGCAAGGAACTGAACGACTCGCTATATGGATTGGGGCATCTTCGGAAGAGGAAGGGTGAAGATGAGTGAACAGGGAAAATAGAGTAAAAACTTTGGTCTTTTGCGAATAGATAATATACTCGTCGTGAGGAATGTATATACCTGTCAGCCGTCAACGAGTTATTGGAATGCTTCGGTTTTGCTAGCGTCTATGCAGTGCCTTTTCTTTCAACCGTTCCTTTCAACATCAATATAAGGGAAGTAATTAGTACAGCGATGAACTAGCTATACGGTGAAATTCATGGACAAGATGGAGCAGTAGTGGGTATGTATTCTATCTCATGGGCACATACTCTACCATCATTCCTAATGCTTCGATGTTCACCCTCGTCATGGCATCATAGAGCACTACAACATGCGTTATGCTTGCTTTAATGATAAATACTCCATGCATAAGACTCAGCTGTCCTCAATATTTGATCCCATGAAATTCAATTCAAAAGTATATCTGTCTAAGCGAGGTCTTCCTCCCCTCCTCCCCAAACGCTGTTTGAATAGGATGCTGTAATGCTATAGCAGGAGTAAGAAATTCAGATTCGGGCTGCATCATACGGCAGCTGATGTTGCTAGAGCCTCTCACAGCATGGTAGTAACCTATCTGCACTGTAACCCTGCAGAATCCTTCAGGTGCAGGATGCAGTTGAGAAAAGTGTAAGCTGCGCAGTCCATTTCATCTGTCATGGTTATTGTTGAGCAGATGATGGAGAATTGGACCCAAGTAAGAAGCTTTACGTAGATGATGCCGGCTACTATCGTATATCAGCGGGTTGCTGGCTAGATGACTTGTAGATGCCAGATTAACTCAAATGTAGTATTACGCTCCATTGGAGGGGTACACCCAAGCTCGGTCATGTGCACTGCAAGGACCCAGACAACAAAGCACTTGCAGGTCGGCTGTATCTCGTGACCTTCTCCGCAGTGAGACGCCAAACATCAGAGGAGAATATTAGAACTGATTCAGATGAATGCAATATAGTCACACGGACAGTTAAGCACGTTAAGCTATCGAACCCATGGTAGCGGGGTATGTGGGAGATGGCTACATGGTTGAGCTAAAGTTGACGGCTGTCACGCAAGACAGTTATTGAACTTTAGATGGATGACTACGATGGATAGGATCAAGGTTTGCAGATCATTGTTGTTGGCAGTTAGTCTGGGTCTGTGCCAGAACCGTATGTCTCACTTAGCTCCTTCTATGGTTGTTTCTTATGAGGCGACTCGATCAACTTCATGTATAATGAGCACATTTTTGCTAGATGAAGGAGGCTCTAATGTTCGCATGTGCTGTGAATTCTTGTCAGCAGACCGGACTTTTTGTTGATCAAGTTCGGCCACGAGAACGTCGCATATGTGAAGTTATTTAGGAGGTAGGATTTGCAGCGGCGTTCTGTCTGATTTGTCCTTGCGCTGATAGGTCTGCGAGGAAATGGAAGTATCGGCACACGATGGTAGGAATGTGAATGGTTGGGCTCATCGTTCGATGGAATTGTCCATAGCACGGAGATGCCGCAGCTGCAGGGGTGTAGTAGACTAGTAGAGAGGTATCTCCGCGCAGCCAAGGGACAAGGCAACTATTGCGGAAGAGGATCCCGCTGTTTAGTCAGAGTAATGAGAGATTAATCTACAAAAGTGGCTCTTCATTCTGGACACGGTCGGACCGAAGGACGTGTTGCTCACCGAATCGTTCGATGTCTATACTCCGTCGGCATGCATCAAACCACATCAAATTAATCTTCCAATGGTTTCCCTCGACAGCCGCATCACGTAGTGATAAGATCGATGGCGCAATTCTGGGGAACCTCCTTAGCTCGCAGCTATTTTTTAGGTACATATGCACCAGCTATGCCGGGCAATCCTTCTGAGACACTCCCTGGTCAGCACAATCCATTTGATTGGTTGGAAGGTAGCTGCTCCGAGGAGACATCCTGGTCGCATAAATTTTATAGATGCAGCGTTGGGTTTGATATTTTTCAGAACCAATGCAGTTGCTAATGGAAAAGCCAACAAGGTTCAGAAGCGATGGCGCATACGGCCTGAAGCCGCCGTCAACATGACCTGTTAGAGACAGAATATCTCTTTCCATTTGGGGTTGGGTGAGCCGTGCGAGATGAACTATGGGATTGTGGATCAGCAAGCAGCAGGTAAGCTGTCTTGTCGGGCTTCCATGTTTATCTGATGGGAAAGGAAGTTTGGTCCCCAGCAATTCCAAGACCACGATGCTGCCAAGCCAGGTCGGCAAAGTCTCGTTGGAAAAACTGAAAGGCAATCTTGGTCTTGTCCGTCCATTCAAATTCCATCTGTTGCATCCACAGTTACAGAGTAAATAAACGGTGGTACGTAGTCAAGATTGTCCCGTTCGCTTGTACTACTGCCGCTTGCTTAGCAGGAGTAGGTTTGTGACTTCCAGACATATTGCTGCCATGGACATGCGGAAATTATATTTAATTTATACCGGATTACAATGAGTAGGATGGAGTACGCAGAGTCATCTTCGATGACCCTGAAAATTCATTTATCCAGATCTACATCGTAGCTCTCCAGAAAGAAACCGATTCTGGAAGTCCAGGCCGATACGAGATGTGTACTCGTCATCCGGGCATCGGAGATAGATTACTAAGGTAATAAAGTGGGAAAAAATAAAACAAAAAAAAAAGGAGATTATTGGCGGCAAGTCAGTCCAGGAGGCAAACAGAGGGAAAAACGAGGAGGGGGACCAGGAAGTTACGGAGAAGTTCCATCTTCTCAACAAGGGGGGAAATGGGAAGAGGGAACCTAACAGAACGGCCCAGCCGATACTTGGACGAAACCGCGCCGCCCACACGTGGACCGGCCATCTTTCACCATCAGTCGGAGCGATGGCGTGTTCTCGCACTATTCCCATTGGTCGCCGCCTGCCCGCCGCGGATGCTGCTCTCCAGTAGCCAGGGACCATTCTCATTGGTCAATACCTTGGTGCTGACCCAATTCCGGTGGGCGGTGTGCCTTGGCAATATGGCGGATGGAGTCCACTCCAACTTACTTTCCCTTTTGGCTCCTCCCCTCTGCGAACGTCGGACAATTCCAGCTGGATCCATTCTGGAGAGAAACATTCCCTTTTTCAACCGTCATGGTGGGTTGCGACTACCGAGACAGAACTCCATCCGTTCGGCTCTTTTCGAGTAGTGAACCATATTATCATGATGATGAATACCAAATCAGTGAACCATCCGGAGGTTAATCCTGTCCTGGATGCTCGACTTGCACACTTGATACACACTCCCTCATATGCAAAGCGCAAACCATGGGCCCCGGCCAGTGGGCGGGCACCGGCTCCACGGCTCATCGTCATCTTTCGCTTCCAGACCCCCGGCCAAACCCACCTAAACGGCGCTCTTACGCCAGCTTTCTCTGACGAGCTTGGCCTCCCTGCAGGCTAGGGAATTTTTCCTTAGCTGCGTGTTGACGACGGGCCTGTGAATATTCCAGACGGCGTGCTTTTGCCCTTGACGATCCCTGGTGGATCAGCTGCCCCATCACTGCGCGTTTCTTGCTGATGCTCCCTTCCCGGTTAATAATAGTCGTATCATGGTCGTCGTTGTCAATGCCATTTTGGCGTAGAATACTCATTGATCGGCTTGCATCAACTCCCGTTGCGACGTCCGCTCTCCCCCACGGAGACCCGTGTCACCTTACTCCTTCTGACAAGTCTAATCACTTTAAAACTCTCTGGACTGACTCCCCTCGAACTACTTTCACTGCTTGTTCATTATTATCCTTCTTCTCATTTTTGCTTCTGTGGCTATTTGTGTTGTTGAAACACTTGCGTGGAACGGATCTGCTGGTCTCATCTTCCGCTCGACCACATTTTTCCCCGTGCGCCACATCTACATTATATTTCCTAGCGGAACTCAGAAAGCCGCGTGTGCTTTGCTTGGACTTTTGTTCTTTCATCTGCTTCTATCATTTCCATATTTATCTGATAGATCTTTTTGAGTTCATCTTGCTCGTGTAGCCTGGATCCTGACGTTGAAAAGAGGGTCGAGTGGGCATTTTGATATTTCGCGTTCATAGCTCCCGATCACGACATCGGCGCTTGGCTTCGGATATTCATTTTAAAACCACACTACCTGCCGCCTCCACTTTTATATCGTTTGCCATCAACCTTGCCATGGGGCTTGCCTAAATACACCCCTGGAAGATATATTACCTTGGAGGAATCTGGAATTCTCATTTTCAATCACTCGAGCATTGTCGTTGAGCAGCTCCGGTCGTCAACGCCAAATTTCCACTGTCCAAGTGGCTCGGGGCACCGTCTTGCCCTAGAATCAGTCCCGTCCTTCCATCCGAGGCCTTCGTGACAACCATGTCGCAAGACCTCATGACCAAGACTGGCCACGGCCTGGCCAAAGTCCTGGGTATCAAATTGCCTTATCGGGATCCCCTTGGAGCTCACTCCGACCCCGTCACTCGTGGCGAATCGACCTTCTCATACGGCACCGTTGATACATACTCTTACTTGGAGCCGGAACCGACCACTGCCGAATGGCTCAAAGAAATCTGTCCAACCTGGCATGATGTCCTTATGTACTTTTACAGACTGTTCCCCTTCCTCTCATGGATCACGAAGTATAACCTACAATGGTTCTTCGGTGATCTTGTTGCTGGTAAGTTGCTGCATCGGTTCCTGGTGCTCTGTGTGTATGTGTGGCGAAAGGATCTGACTTTATTCACCAGGTGTGACTGTCGGTGCTGTCGTTGTCCCTCAGGGAATGGCCTATGCCAAACTCGCCGAACTACCAGTGCAGTATGGTCTCTACTCATCGTTCATGGGTGTACTGGTTTATTGGTTCTTTGCCACCTCCAAGGATATCACTATCGGGGTAGGTGTCCTCTTCTAATACCTGCCGCTTTCGAGTCAAGTTTCTAACAATATGCCTTCTAGCCCGTCGCTGTGATGTCCACGCTGGTCGGAACGATTGTGCTTCAGGCTCAGAAAGAGCTCCCGGATGTCCCAGGGCATGTCGTTGCATCTTGCCTGGCTATTATCTGTGGTGCCATCGTCTGTGCCCTCGGTCTCCTTCGGCTCGGCTTCATCGTTGACTTCATTCCCCTTCCTGCAATTTCGGCATTCATGACGGGATCCGCTCTGAACATCGCTGCCGGTCAAGTCAAGAAGTTGCTGGGAGAATCGGCGGATTTCTCCACTAGAGGCTCGACATATATGATCATCATCAACTCGCTGAAGTACCTCCCTACTGCGGGTATTGATGCTGCCCTTGGTGTCACAGCCTTGGCCATGCTGTACATTATCCGTTCGGCTTGTAATTATGGTGCTCGAAAGTACCCTCGCCAGGCTAAAGTGTGGTTCTTCGCGTCGACGCTGCGAACTGTCTTTGTCATCCTTTTCTACACCATGATCAGTGCGGCTGTCAACCTTCACCGCAAGGATAACCCGATGTTTGATCTTCTGGGCAGTGTCCCAAGAGGTGCGTTAGATACCTGATTTATCTGTCTCTGAGGATAGGAAACTAACTTAGAATTCGTGCCCCTCAGGTTTCCAAAATGCTGCTGTTCCTGTTGTCAACGCCAGGATCATCAAGGTTTTTGCCAGTCAGCTCCCTGCTTGCGTCATCGTCCTCCTTATCGAGCATATCGCCATTTCCAAGTCATTCGGCCGTGTCAACAACTATACCATCGAGCCGTCCCAAGAATTGGTCGGTATTGGTGTGACCAACCTTCTTGGTCCTTTCCTGGGCGCGTACCCTGCCACCGGATCCTTTTCTCGGACCGCCATTAAGTCGAAGGCGGGTGTTCGGACTCCCTTGGCCGGCTGTATCACCGCCATTGTTGTGTTGCTCGCTATCTACGCCCTGACCGCCGTCTTCTTCTATATCCCCCAAGCTGCCCTTTCCGGCGTTATCATCCACGCTGTCGGCGATTTGATCACGCCCCCCAACACTGTGTATCAATTCTGGCGCGTCTCACCCCTTGATGCAATCATCTTCTTCATTGGTGTTATCGTAACTGTTTTCACCTCGATCGAGGATGGCATCTACTGCACTATCTGTGTGTCCGTGGCTGTCCTGCTTTTCCGTGTTGCCAAGGCCCGCGGTCAGTTCCTGGGCCGAGTTACCATTCACTCCGTTGTTGGCGATCATCTGGTGCAAGGAGATGGCAAGTATGGACCGGGTGGATTCCCTGATGCCCCCAACGATGATGAGGGCGGGTCCCGTCGGTCTATCTTCCTCCCTCTTAACCATACCGATGGCTCGAACCCCGAGGTTGAGGTGGAACAGCCATACCCCGGTATCTTCATTTACCGTTTCTCGGAGGGCTTCAACTACCCCAACGCAAACCACTACACCGACTACTTGGTTCAGGCAATCTTCCGCCAGACGCGTCGCACCAACCCGTTCTCTTACGCTCGTCCCGGTGATCGGCCATGGAACGACCCCGGCTCTCGGAAGGGTAAGGAGGAGAACCGCTCGGAACGGCCCATCCTCCGCTCCATCATCCTCGATTTCTCGTCGGTTAACAATGTTGATGTGACTTCTATCCAAAACCTGATCGATGTTCGCAACCAGCTTGATCTCTATGCTTCTCCTCGCACTGTGCAGTGGCACTTCGCTCATATCAACAACCGCTGGACGAAACGAGCACTGGCAGCCGCAGGTTTCGGCTACCCGACACCTACCTCTGATGATGGGTTCCACCGGTGGAAGCCGATTTTCAGTGTGGCTGAGATCGAAGGACGAGCATCTGCTGCGGCTCATGCGGAGATGATCAACAATGAGCATGCCCATCAGAACGCCATCAAGCGTGACATCGAGGAGGGACTCAAGCACGAAACTCACATGACCGAGCGCGAGGCCTCCGGAATTGATATCGAAGCGTCGTCCGACAACAGCAGCACGCCGGACGACAAGTTGGCGCGCGATCTCAAGGACAGCAAGGCATACCGCAATCGGCGCAAGGCGGCGGTGGTGCAGGGCATCAACCGGCCATTCTTCCACATTGACTTGACAAGTGCGCTCGAGAGTGCCTTGGCCAATTCGCCCCCGGAAGAGCCTATTGAGGAGCCAAGCGCATGAGTTGATCCACGATCGGTATAGAAGATGAACGATCCCCCCTGGCTGGAGTTTCGAGATGATTTACTTTTCATGGTTTTCCTTACCCGGGGTTTTGCTTTGGAGCGAGTCGGATTTACGATTTTATTTACTGTCGATTGAAGCTATACCCCTGATGTCTCGCTATGTGTATATAGATAGACTCGTTCAAGACGTACATATATTGTTTAATGCGTTCATGTTATCCGAACTACGTCCTATATAGATTAGATGCCTAGAAATCATCCTTTGAGCTCAAGATTCATAGTAGTTAAATCATAGTGTTAGAGGCTTGAGTTGGCAGAGTCACAGCCAGCCTGACTCCTCGCAGTCCTTACCGCATTCAGTAGGGCTTGCGGATAGGCACCATTCCCGGCCAATCAGACGGGCGCGCATTACTTGCTCGAAACGGCCCAAAACTTGACTGCAGTGATGGGATGCACTTGACATCGATCATGTTGATATCCTTCGTGCCTCGCATTGATGTCTCGAAGGAGATATGTCTAGACTACACAGCCTCAGTTGCATTTGACTTGGCATGATATAAGGCCAAACTGAAGTTGTAGCCTCCATATATAACTACACAATGGCATCCTGTAGTACATTGAATTCTATCAGCAGCTTGTGCAACCATTCCTCCCCACCAGAATACTTTATTTCTCTCAATCCTACCTGGAGACTGACGGGACTAGCGACATGATTAAAGCTTATAAGTACGTATCGCAGAAGACGAAAGACTCCAAGTCTCCCGCACCAAAGCCACTTTGTGCACATCGCTCGCAATGGTACCAACTAGAGTCGACGAACCGCGAAGACTCCGAGTCCTTGGAAAGGCCTATGTCTGGCTCCACAAAAGGATTGAGTCCTGCTACAGGTACTGATAAATGCAGGCTGTGTAAGGAGCAAAAGCACAATGCGCGAGTGTATCGCGTCAAGCTCATTGCTGGTCTTACGCTGCCGTTTACTCTCTCCACACTGGACTTAACTATCGTTGCTACTGCGACCTCGACTATCGCATCTCACTTTAGTATGTCAGAGGACTCTTGCGCCTGATTGTTCTTTCCTGACCATGTACGCTGTTTCTAGACCAGTTCGATGAGCTGAATTGGATCATAACCGCCTTTAGTCTCACATCAACCACCTTCATTCCCATATTCGGTCAGCTTGCCGATGTCTTCGGGCGTCATATTGTACTGCAGACGGCGTTGTTTCTCATGCTTATTGGGAGTGTCCTGTGTGCAGCTGCGCAGACATGGGGTATGCTGCTGCTGGGTAGGGCTTTGCAGGGTGTCGGCTCTGCAGGTCTGAACAATATCATTATGATTATTCTTGCCGATAAGGTGTCCTTGAAGGAGAATGCAAGGAATAAGTCTATATTCACCATCTTTGGAGGAGTGGGATATGCTGTGGGCCCGGTTATCGGAGGGTAAGTGGCTTGTCTGAGAATGCTATGTACACTGCTAATGATTGCATTGTAGGTATCTTACTGATGTGGGTAGCCTGGTTGCACGCTCTATACTGTTACTAACGAGATGATAGAGCAATTGGCGATATTGCTTCGTTGTGCCTATTCCTGTAAGTTTGACGGTGCTTTACTCTATGCAAAGGCTGATCAGATCAGATTGCTGTCCTCAGCCACATCATGATCTTTGTGCTGTTGCGGAATGACCTTGTCGAAGGAACCATGTTCAAGAAGGGCTCAAGATGGTCCTCGATACTCCCAGCACTTGCTACCATAGATCTTGGAGGATCGATCCTTTTCATATTCGGTGTTGGCCTCATCATCCTAGCCACTACATGGGGTGGCGCCACTTACTCCTGGTCGTCCCCTCAGGTGCTGGCACCATTGATCATCGGTGCAATCTGCTTCATTGCATTCTTTGTGTACGAGTACCTCCTTGAACCAGGTAGATTGTTCGCACGCATCTTCCCGAAGCACGTGGCGATGCTTCCATACAGCCTTTTCGAACGAACAGACACAATCTGGCTTGCCATAGTGAACTTTTCCACTGGCGTAGGTATGTGAAACTTAGCCATCTATGCTACACGCACAACTGCTCACTGTATTAGCCTCATATTCCATCTTCTACTTTATCAGCATTTACTACATCTTGGTTGCAGGTTACTCTACCTCAAAGGCGGGCCTAGAACTGTTATACTACATCCCCGGACTAGGAGGTAAGACACTTGCCAATCGAGACCTGCAAGTGACTAACCGTCATGCGTATAGCTGGTGTCTACCTAGCGATATACTTTTGCAACGGCTTCCCTCGCCAGACCTTCTTTCCCCTCCTCATGGGAGCAGTGCTTAGCACCGTCGGTCTCTCTGTAGTGGCTTACGCCATCAGCGCACAAGAGACCAGCCTGCTGAGCGGAATGCTAGTCATTACCGGCGCTGGAGTCGGACTGCGCCTGATGCCATCCTCGCTCCACACGGTAGGCATCTGGCCGGAGCGGATAGCACCAGCGATGTCTTTGATGCAGGTCTCGCTTCCCTTTGGGGGCACGCTCGGCTTGACCATCATGACCAGTGTGTTCAACAACAAGTTCGGCCGCTCCTCTGCCATAAGGGGCCTAGAGGGGACGAGCAGCTCGCTGAACGTCCACGATACCGACTCGTTAGCATTTCTCGACAATCTGCCTGCAGCAGTGCAAGACAGCATCCGCATGGCTGCTAAAAATGCCATCATGTGGGCATTCATCTCGATCATCCCCATAGTAGGACTGAGTCTCTTAACGACTACAGTCATGGGCAACGTCTGGGTGAACGTTCGAGGAAAGAATGACGGAGAGCACGTCGGGGAAGACGATGGCGAGGGACGGAGCGAAGTCATTCACGTTCCTTATTTATGGGCTCTTGCCAAGGTATATCGCCTCTTCCTATATCCTTACCAGATACAATGCTGATCAAACACACACCACAGGGCACCATAAGCACCCACAAGCGCATCAGCAAGCCCATCTCAAGCAACACACAGCCACCATCACCACTCCGTCAACCCACCCTACAACACAGCACAGCATAGACACCATAGATAGATAGCATAAACCCATAGAATTATACATACATACACACATCAATAATAAATACACCTACCTCTCCTCCCTCCCCATTACCACACCCTCCCCCCTCCCCACCCTTTTTATCATTTCCCCCTACACCCTCCCAAGGAAAAGGAAAAATCACCTCAAAACCCCCCCAACACCCGCCCACCCCAAGATAAACCCACTCAGCGCCTCACCCAGCACACCACCCCCAAACCAAACGTCCCTCCAGGCTGCGCGTCTCAACATACCACCTCCCTTAGTACCCTTACCACTGACCACACCCCTCTCATCCATCCCCTCAACTTCCCCATTCGCACCCGCAAAATACATCCCCGCGCCTAATCCCCCGGAGCGATAGAGTAGCAGGGCGTGGAACAGCGCGGACACGAAGACCGTGCCGAGGAGGTAGAAGAGGAATCCGGTGGCGGATTGCAGGGAGAGGATTCCGGCTGTGAGGCCGAGGAGGAAGGAGGTTAGGGAGTGTAATGAAGATAATGTCTGTGGGATTAGATTAGGTTGTATTGTTAGTGAGAGGGTTCGTAGGAGGTTGGTTGGTTTGGGGGAGGGTTTAACGCACCCTGTTGTTGTGTTGGAGAGATTCCGGGACGAGGGGGTTGATGAGGAGAGAGAGTTCTTGTTTTGTGGGTGGCATTTTTATTTTTTTTGATTGTGTGGTTTTGGATGGTGGATTGTGGGTGGATGGATGATGGTGTTGGTTGTGGTGATAAGTTGGTAGATAGCTAGGTAGGTAGGTAGCATGATGTCGGAGTTGGAGTATATTGCCGGTTGGTTCCGCTTTTGGTGGTTTACTACTTTCTACTCATAATTAGTACTACTGTGGTAGACTACGAAGAAAAGGAAATAGAAGTAGGTCTACTCTGTAGGTCTGTTTAATCTGCAAACAATTATATTTACCAAAGCCATGATGATTATACCATTAACATCCTAGCCGTCATAACACGACATGCTGAGACACAGCCCCACGCACGTCTACATGAACATGTGAATACATCCATACAAACAATAAGTCAATAAGTCAGTCAAGTCGGTCACTCATCCAACTGCCCCAATGGCGTTCGAATCCCATTACTAGACAACTTCCTCCCAAGATTCATTTCCGATGAGATCGCTCATAGGTTCATTTCGGATCCTGCCACTTATGCCCAAAGCCAATCTAGTCAATTAATGCAATAGAGAGAATGTAAGCAGAAACGTTAAGTCAAGTCGAATGAATGAATGGCTGCACTTCATCACGCAATGTTGTCGAGCTTGCCCTCGGCTTTGGCTTCTCTGACTTGTTCAAAAACCTACAAAAATTAGCATGATGTCTGAACACCTTGGAGAATTTATGTGACTCACCTTGAGCATTTTGTTTCTGGCACCAAGAGCATTGACGCCGCGGTCTTCCAGCGCCTTGTCGTTCAATTCGACCAGCTCCGTCCATTTCAAGTCCTTCAGGTTTTCCGTGTACTTGTGCAGCCGCAGCGATCTCAGCCAGCTGGGAATGTCCTTCAAGAGGTTAGGGTCCGTGGGGTCCTCCGGCGGCTTCGAGCTACCGCGACGACCACGCGGGGACCGGCCGCGAGCCACTTCCGAGTGGTCTGAGAGGTAGCCCTCAGGACCTCCCAGGCCAAACTGCCCGATACCAAGTGCACCCAGGCCGTTACCCATGAGCGGGTTGTTCGGGTCATATGCTGCCAAGAAGCCGTTGTTCTGCGGCGAAGTGAAGCCCATCGGACCAAGTCCGCCAGCACCCTGCATGGCGATTCCAGGCGAAGTCGGGCGGGAGCGACGACCCGCCATCGCAGCCTGTTGCTGTGCCTGCAAAGCCGCCAGCTGCTGAGTGTTCAACAGCTGTCCGGCAACAAGGTGACTGTGGCCCGGGAGGCCCGGGCTGGCCAGGCCACCCTGAGACATGGCGTGGCTATTGGCCGAGTTCTTACCCTGGCCATCGTTGGAGCGAGCCCGACGGTACTTGCGAGCATCATCAAGTGCAATGCGGTTGTTGACGGTCGACAGTGCGGCCAGCTTCATCGCAGTCGCGTTGGCCACCATATCGGCCTGCGAATTCTGCTGGGGCTGCTGCGGCTGCTGGCCAAAGGTCGCCGTCATGGGGGTGTTGGTCATGGAGGCCCAGCTGGCATTTCCAACATTGTACGGCGAGAGCAAAGGAGCATCAATCTCGGGGGCAGGAATCGTGGCGGTTTGGGTAGGGAGCGGAGAGCGCAGGCTCGAAGGAGTCTGGCTGAATTGGCCCATGGGCTGATGACCGGACGAAGACTTGGGACGGGCGATAGGGGGTTGCGGCTCAGATCCGCGCTGGGCCCAGGGTGAAACCGGAGGCTGGCCCAAGGTGTCGTTGCTGTTGTCTGGGGCCGAAATGGTGGGTGCCACAAAGGAAGTCCGATCGAAAACAGCGCTGTTCCGGTTCGAGGGAGGAGCATTGCCCGTTTGCTGGGTGAACTCGGCCTTCTTCTTTGCAATTGCCGCAGCAGCATCGGGGAACATGGCATTGATGGTGGACGAGTCGAGTCCGGAGTTGCGCTTAGCACCCGGGGACGGCGGGGGGCGACCGAGGGAGCTCCGGGAGCTGTCCACATTCAACTTGGACATGGCATCGTTCAAGCGGTTAGACATGGCATCTGGCAAAATATTATTGTTAATACCTGTCACGCTTGCCTGGTTTGATATGCAACTTACCCTTCTCGCCAAAGTTGGCCGGAGACAACAGTCCCGACATGGGATGGCTCTTGGCCATCTGCTGCAAGACCTGAATGAAGAAACGAATCTGCACCTGAGTGGTCTGCTGCAACAGAGCGTAAAGGGCAGCAGTCCTCTCCGCCTCGCTGAGAACCCGGAACCACTGCTCGATGGCGCTAAGCTCATCCTTGAAATCCTGGTCCAGCGTGGCAGCGGCCATTTCTTCCAATGTAGTCTCGTACTGATCAATATCCGCGAGCCACTGCTGAGCCGCACGGTCCAACGGATCCTCCGCGTTGTTCGACGCCTGCGACTGCTGATTGAAGTAGACTTCCGAGGAAGGACGGATGCTGCGGGATGACAGAGGAGATGGGAAGCCCGACATATCGGCCGATGCACGAAGCTGGTGCGATCCTAGATTCCGAGACGACGATGGAGGACGAAGACTGGACTTGGAGGCTTCAGGCGTGCTGTTGCGGTTGCCGATGATATGGCTGGCCATAAGTAGAGATTGAATGAGGGTAGTATTCTGGAACAAGGAGGGTCAAAGGAAAGTCTCGGAATGGGACTTTCTTTTCTCGAATGTCTTTCCTCTTTTAAGTCGGTCTCCCTTTATGCGAGGCCCGGATGGAAAATAAATACAAAAAGAGAAGAATTACTGCAAAACACCTGCAGCACCTGCTGAGTTTGCGTGTCGTGAGGGTTGGTCGGAACAGGAGGTCTTTCTTATTTTGGTCGCAGGCTGGGAGATAGCGAATCACCCAAGAGGCAAAGGATCAAAAGCGAGAAATCTCTCTAAGGACGGAGACACTTTTTTTTCGGTTGGAAGAGGTGAGAAACCCAACTGTGTTGGTTCTGGACAATGACGTTTGGGGCACAGACCAGTCCAGTGGCTGCACTGCCCGATTCGGATTCTAGGATGAGGAATCAAGCGAATCGCAAGAGCATCAAAGGAGGTGTTTTGATCAATCGATTGGAGAGAGAACGAGAAAAGACAGATGGCCGGAAGAAAATCCTCGGTGGATGGCGAGAGAAACGCGGCGACTTCCCGGGTGGAATTAGTGTAGGGGAAGTGTGGGTTGCGCTTTTTTTGACTTTTCTTTTTCTTTTTTTTCTTCTTTTTTAACGAAAGGATGTCAGGGTTATCTGCAATAGTGTGTCAAACACAGCAAGCAAGATACCTAGAGCATCAAATAAAAAGGAAAGTGAAAAGAAAAAAAAAAGGGGGGGGAAGCGAAGAAGCAGAAACCTGATGGCGAGGGAGGTGAGGGAAGATGGGGGGGAAGAGAGAGAGAGAGTAAGTAGATGGGGGGAAGAGAAGGAAGAGGGAGAGAGACCGAGACAGAGGGAGACGAAGAAAGGCGGAAAAGACGATGGAGAGAAGCAACAGAACAAGTCAAGAACGAAAGAAACAAGAAGCGAAACGAAAAAACGACACTTTGCCGTGGCGGGCGTAAGAAAAAGTCACCGGATTGGCTGGTTTGGGTTATGTTTGGCTTGATTTGTTCTCCGCCGAACCTCTTCTTCTTTACTTGCTTCTTCTTCTTCAGCTCAGATACTCTAGAACATCATTCATCTACATTCTATATCTTTTGTAACATTGACTATATCGACAATCCCATCGATCAAGATCTGACCATATCTTCTCCTTTCATCTGACCTATCTGACTTCTATATCCCACTGCCTCCGACGCGTCCCAGTCGGCCGGTCTGGCCGGTTTTCTGCATCGGCAAGTTTAGTCTGGGATTGGCGGCGCTTACATGTTGCTATGAATAAACCCTCCCTCCAGGTCCGTGATCCGGCCTTCCTTTATCGCTCCGCCTTACCCTTTGTCTTGTGCGCATCCCTACGGTTCTCGAATGATTCTAAAGTACCTTCTCTAGACGCTATTGCAACGCCATCCAACCGTGTTTTCGGATACAAGCCCCAATTGCTTGTCTGTTTGCTGTGGCTCCACCACAACCCAATGATGATCGCTTCTTTGTCGCATAGTCTTGCGCAACACTCCCCGATATCCTTGAGACGACTGAGACGACACCTCGGCTAGTCTGTCTGCTTACTTGGTGATCTGCTCCTCAAGGGAGGTCTGTGTTTAGTTTCCAGCCAGTCTTTGCATTCTAGGGGCCAGTGGCCGGGCAAAGTCTTGCTACACAAAGTCCGTATTAGTAAAGTCACCTGAATACTTGTATCCCAAAATGGATTACCCGGACGACCATCACCCACATCACCAACCTCCCTCGCAGGAGTACGTCTATCCCGATATTGATGAGACGATACATTACCCATGGCAGGGAAATCAGCCAACCACGCAAGGAGAGGCCTCCATTCACTCCGTTCTGGATCCGCGCCTGTATAAGGACCTTTTTACAGGTAACGCCTCGCAGGCTCAAGATGAGGCTTCCTTTGATGAGGATGCAGAGGCGTATCATGATGCGGACGACTCGGACGAGTCCCTCTATACGTTGTCTTCAGAGGAGAGCTCAAGGTTAGTATCACGACTTCATGCGAGTGTTCTCAAGTTTTCTGTCTGTTGCTGACCGCACACAGCGAGGAAGAATTCTCTAACCAGGCTGATGAAGACGACGAAGCCTACGGTCGGAGACGTCGCAGGGGCACAGGCCCCTTCTCTGGTCGGTACGGTGCGCGCGGTGGAAAGGGCATTAGGAGGGGACCGCGCAAACCACTAGAACCGAGCCCCGAGTTCAAGATCTTGCATTCGGAGGCAACCTCTGCCTTCATCGATGGTGACTATGACCGTGCCATTGATCTAACAAAGCGTGCCATTCAGGTTAACCCCGAGATGTTCGCGGCACATTCGCTCTTGTCCGAAATCTTCTTGGCCCAAGGCGAGAAAGACAAAGCATTGACCGCGTTGTTCAGCGGCGCTCACACGCGGCCCAAAGATCCTACAGTATGGGCTAAAGTAGCAAGAATGATCCTCGAACGCGCCGGGGAGGAACGTCAAGGTGCACTGAATGACGTTATCTACTGCTATAGCCGTATCATTGAGCTAGATCCGAAGAATTACAATGCTCGATTCCAGCGAGCAGCGATCTACAGAGAATTGGGCTACAATGGACGAGCAGCGACAGAGTATGAGCGCATCTTGAAAGAAGTCCCACACAACGCTAGGGCGCTTCGCCACCTGGCAGAAACCTACATCGACCTCAACGATGTCCAGAAAGCCGTGGATCAGTGGCGGGTGAGCGTGAAATACTTCACGTCTCTAGAACCGGAAGATGCTCCCGAATTTTCTTGGTCCGATGTCAACATCTACGCCGAACTGTACAGCTATCTGGGCCGGCCGTTTGAGGGCCTCAAGGCCCTCAAGTCTGTCTCGAGATGGCTTCTAGGCCGGAAGGATGATACGATGTGGGAGGATTTTCATGAAGACGACCGGGAATGGGATGCGGATGATTCTCCTCGACGCATCAAGGCTGATGGATACGAACCTCGAAGGTGGCCTCGAGATTCGTACGGTCTCGGTCTACCCCTGGAGTTGCGGATCAAGCTGGCACTCTTTCGGCTGAGGATGGGTTATGAGCACAAGAACGAGGCTCTGGTAAGTGCTTTAGTATACGAATAGTAGCCGGCCTATTTTCTGACACAGAAACTACAGCATCACCTCGAGTGGTTGAATCCGGAGGATACGTCCGAACATGCTCGGTTGTACGATTATGGCGACCTTTTCCGAGAGGCCGCTGATGCGCTCAAAGACGTTGGGCTTTTCGAAGAGGCACTGCGGTTCTACATGCCCCTCCAACAAACAAACGAGTACGCAGATGTTGGCTTCTTCATGGCAATGGGAGAATGTTGCAGTGTATTGGGCAAGCTCGAAGACGCCGAGAACTGCTTTCTTACGGTTGCGGAGCACGATGCACGGCACGTGGAATCCCGCGTGCAGCTGGCAAAGCTTTATGAGGGCATTGGCATGTCGGAAGAGGCTCTGAAATACGTCAATGAAGCGGTTCTGCTAGGAAGGCAGGAGAGCCGTAGTAACCGCCGGCGCAAGGACACAAGGCTGGAACAGCTGGCGGTGGAGTTCAAGGCAGCTGATGCGGCTCGTGAAGACGCTGCCTTGAGGTCAATCGCGCCTCAGCCCCCAAGCGCTGACCTGCCGGCTGCTCTGACTACTACTACTACCTCAGCTGCAAAGGATACGGAGATAAATGAAGAACAAAGGATAGCAAATGTGCAATATCTCTATGACAAGTTAATGCAGCTGCTTCCGCAAGCGAAAGAAGGCAACGCAGAAGCCACGGAGGACTGGCTGGATATAGCAGACGCTTTGCTGCGTGAATTTCGGTCAAATCGAGTATTCTATCCCATTCAACGCAACATAACCTTCTTGGGATATTCGCGCGAAGCACAGAGAAAGGCGGGGAGACACAAGGGCCGCAACTTCATCGATGAGATGCAAGAAATGGCTGGGCGTCTCCAGGAGTCTTTAGGTGATTCATACCCTTTTGTGTCATTGGAGCATAGCTGACTCTTATCCAGGGAGTATTCCTGACGAGCCACTTCAAGGGGCTATACCAACTGACTACTATGGGATCAGCTTCAATGAATGGCTCGACCTTTTCTTGCAGTATGCCCTCACTGTAGCGACGCAAGGAGAATCCGACGAAGCGTACGACACGCTCGCAGCCGCTGCGGATGCCAGCGTCTGGTATCACTCCAAAGCCGACACCCGCATGATTCATGTTTGCTGGTTCAGTGAGTCTCCTTTGCCGTATCGTATTCTGCATGAGATACTGACCTTCCCAGCTTGTGCGCTTCGGATGCAGGATGAAGAGACGCTTGCAAATGAAGCACGATGGTTTATCAAGGAATATCAATTCGTGACTGACACTTATCGCTTGTTTGCCATGTTGAGCCGGCTCGTCGGTGATCCTCACCGGTCTTTGTTCCACTCGTCACCAAACATGAAGTTCATGCTGCGCCAGATCAAGGCCATGGACTTTACTGTACCGGACGAGGTTACAGGAGAACGACCAAATCGGTTCGTGCGCGAGTCAGCTTACAAGGAACGCGCATCCTTGTCTACGCGGGACGAGACGACTGGTGAAGCCATCCCGGCAGATGAAATGGACGTTGCCCTCCTTGTGCTATACGGCCACATCCTTTACTCGGGAAACAGTTTCTACCCAGCCCTGAATTACTTATTCCGTGCCTATGCACTGGACGATCAGAACCCAGCCGTCCTGCTCTCCATCGCCCTCTGCTACATCCATCACTCACTCAAGCGCCAGTCCGAAAACCGACACTACCTCATCATGCAGGGGCTGTCGTTCATGCAGGAGTATCGACGCGTCCGTGAACGACCGGGAAGTCTCCTATCGGAACGGCAAGAAATGGAATTCAACTTTGCTCGCGTCTGGCATAGCTTAGGGATAGCCCATCTAGCAATAGAAGGCTACCAGCTCGTGCTAGATCTCGGCGCACAGATCCAAGCGCAATCCCAACAAACGATCCCGCACCCGAAAGATGGCAGCGATGTCGTCATGGGCGATACAGGGCTAGAAGCGCAAGCCCCTTTCGTAGAGGACTTTTCGCGCGAAGCGGCGGTGGCGCTGCAGATTATCTATGCCCTGAACGGCGATTATCAATCAGCCCAGAAGGTCACGGCCAAATGGCTGGTGATTTAGTCAAGAGAATTCTAGTGGCGAACCATCGATCCCCGGAGGTCACCTGTACCATGTACCCATACTTAGTGACTGTACATAACGACTTAACTAATTGTTTAGTTCAACCACTAATGCCGCGAAGCAATTAGGGATGGATGGGTGGATGTTCTGCTAATGCACACTCACGGACGCGGATAGAGTACCTAGGACTCAGACCTCCATCAGCATATGCACGTACTTTGTCCATCCTTAGCTACTTCTAGCTACTTACAAAGAAAGTATACCGCATGACCTGCATGCAAGTAGGTAGGAATTATGTATCTGTGCAAATGACCATCTCTTACCCTGTCAAGTCCCAGCCTAGTACGTAGTACTTACTTCCCCGCTTCCTGTCATATCATGTGGCAACTATCCACCTTCTTACTTGGCAGCTAGCTACGTAGCTATTTTACCGTGATTGCGGTAATGATCATCACATATGCAGCACATGCACCATGACATAAGAGGCGAACATGACAGGCAGGGGGCACAAGCAGCAGGGGGGGTGGGGGGCGCCACCCCATACACATGATTGCATAGTATGTATGTGTGTACCTTATGCAGAGTAACATCATCGTCGGCAGCAGACATGGGGTTTGTGTTTGTTTGTGTGTTGATGTCTGCGTGGCGAATTCTGGCGCAAACAGCCAGCTGGTTTTATCGAGTAGTAAGTTACCAGTACATGATTTCGTGTGAATAGGAAGAAAAGTTTTGTTGTTACGCTTAGTATGTCTGAAATACACTACCTCGTGTATCTAGTAATACTGCGATACTGTTTTGAGAGTACATAATCACTAGGTGGGCATGGTTAGTATCATATAGTCCTAAGATAGATTGGATTGGCATTGGCGCGATGTAGTGTAACCAAAGTAGTGGATTCAGATGCGTGGTTTTCCCGGGGTAATGGTGGTGGTGGAGGAGGAGGAGGAGGAGGAGGAAGTCAGTGATACGATAGTAAATTCTATCTACGAGCCAATTTTGTTATACGGAGCACTTTGGGCACCTTAGAAAGATGGATGATAATGATAGTTGTATCCTCTCGCGTTACAACTTGTTCATCTAGCGTATACAGTCTGGTGTGGTATATAACACTCTGTCTATACTTTTTATAGCAGTAGTGTTCTCCTCTTTGGCTTTACATCCGAAGAATGCCAGAATCAAAGCAACGCCAATCTATATACCGTTCACTCTTTGATAACAGCATGCTCAGCACTAAGCTACGTCTCCAGACCTGGCTCCTTGAATCTACTAAATCAAGCACGGAAATAACTCCATCACAGCACTGATAGTGGTTGGTACTAAGTTATTCAATGGTATATAGTAATACTATTCCATATTGCAGACCTCCATAAGATTGTCGAGTCAGTCGCTTCATTTCTTCCTACCTGATACTAGTATGACTTGATCCTCCCGCTGCGTGTAAAACTACAAAAGATACACTACTTAAATACCAGTAGAAATATACAATCAATCCATTCATAGAACCGGAGGACAATACTTTGCCAATCAGGGTTTAGTCCGCCAGACCCAGTCATTTCGAACTGAACGGTGATATACCTAGTAGTAGTAGTAGTACTTCGGTTCTACCAGTAGTCCCTCAGTGATCATCCCAGACCTCCTTGAATAACCCAGCCACTTGCTCCTGCTATGACGGAGTTCCCTTTTTTTTTTTTTTTTCTGTCCCCCTGAGTGATGATGAATATCGACGCAACCCCAGCTGATAAAAAAGGGACCCAAAGCGCAACAATCAGACGCAGAGTTAGAGACTAAAGCATCTTCACCAGGCTATGAAGAGCCGGCCTTAATCCTTTTTTTTTTTTTTTTGCCGCGGGATCTTGCCAACGGCCTGATGCGAGCCTACTGGGATAAAAGCTACTTCCTATACTCCGTTATCAACAGGGATAACATTAAGGTGATGTACCTGAAATGTCCCTCTAGACCGTTCATATCGAAGATATTGAGAGCAAGATCGCATATATACTTTAGAGATTGATGGCAAACTGCAGGCACGCAACCCACTCTGCCCAAGCATGCTGTGTTACTGCATGCGCGGTGCTACCTTGGCTGCAGTTGCAGATGGTTGCACAGACAAATTTTAACCTATCTGAAGTAATGCTGGGGTAATGTGCACGTACTCAGCAGCGACTGTAATAAAGATAACAGAGTTGGCAACAATGCCACGATTCTCCCCACCGGCCGGCCAGCAGGATCTTGCCGGCTACGACTGGGATGTACGGTGGACTATGCCAGGCCCTCTTGGTTCTAAAATATGGCCTTTTTGGACTCCAATCTCTTTTCGTTTGCGTCTGATGATTGATAAATAAATATGTTGTCGACGCTGTTTGAGGCGGGGGTTTGGATCGGGTGAGGTTAGTTGGTGTATACTATATGGAAGTCATGATTGTATCGGGACCTGAAAAAAAAATGCTTAGTTCTGAGATGGGGGAAATAGTTGTCTCTACGAAAGCGGGGGTGTACATTACCACTGACATAGTATATTGAGTGATCGAGTCGGACATGAGTTAGTCCACTTAATTCACAACAATTAGTCTCTCAATTTCCTGACACGCTTGGCATTACTATCATGATCAAACAAGCAGACGGAAATTGCAGCAGAACACTTCAGTTAATTCATATTTAGTACTACTAAGCAGTCTGTGCTCCTTGATACCTCTATTTGACATGCATGGGCAACTAAGAAAATGATATTACTGGCACCACCCCCTTCCATACCTGCTAGTAAGTGAAAGTAATGTATAGTAATAAAGTACAAGTAGTATCAAGATCTAATGCCTTCCTAGGAGGACCAAACTAAAAGGGATTAATACGCCAGAAGATGGATCAATAGCAAGCAAGCTAAAAAAGCGCATCAAAAAGGACCAAACCATACTAGGCCAGGCAGGCAGAGATAAGAAATATAAACTCTTATCCGGGCCTAAGCGCCTCATCATCGCCGTACATATCCACATCATCGAAGAAAACCGCCGACTGCCGCCTCACCTCCTCAAAGATACTACTCCCCGTGCTACCCCGACGGTGTTCCGGGACCCGCAGCAGCCGAGAAGACGAAGACGAAGAAGACGGCCGCGCAGCAGATTCGTTCGATGAATTCTCCGACAGCGATCCGTCCAGTAAATGCGTATCTTCTCCGCCGCCGCCCTCGCCGAATGTGATGTTAACGTTGTCCCCGCGTCGTTCGGGAAGGTTGTGGTCCAGGCGTTCGTTCAGGGGATCGGTGCGGGGGCTTGGATTATAGTGGTTATCCGGGTCGTTATTTTGGCGCCAGCGAGACGGCGCAGGAGAGATCGGTCTGCCGCCGGCGTGCGCGAATTTCTGTAGGCTTTTGACGACGGCGATTTCGATCTTTAGTCTGTTTTTGATAAATTGGAGTTTGGGGAATGCGCTTTGCTGGCCCACGCGGAGCATGCGGGCGAGGCGCTCCGGGTTGGGGTCCGAGAGAATGTGGTAGAAGTCCGAGGGGATGGTCTTGGGCCAGATGGTTACCGTGCCGCTGAACTTTTGCAGCCAGATCTCGCTCCAGTCTTGGCCCATGGGCCGCGGGAGGAGTTCAAGGTGCCGCAGGACTCGGAGCCATTTGTTCATGTCTAGTTTGATGTATTGTTCTATCGCGGAGCCGAGGAAGCCTCCGCGCCAGCCGCGGCCTTTGCGGTGCGTGACTGGTCGGCCTACTGTGCCTCGGGAGCTGAAGAAAAAGAGGTTGATGTGTGGGTTTACCTAGTCGAGAGGGGTGGTGTTAGTTCGATGTTCTCAGTGTTGGGTATAATAAAAGGGGTTCTCTACCTGTGAAACGATGGTGAAATTGACGTTGAAGTGGAGGTTTAACGCTTTGATAGGGATGTCGGTGCGCAAGCTGCCATCCTTCCATTTGTGGCCGAACGAGTACGGCGCCAGTGTCCCATCGCGTTTCTTCGTCGTCAAGACGACGGGGTTCAAGATACCAGGGACTGCAGCAGACGCGAGCACTGCGCTCCATATTACGCAATTAGGTGAAGTTAGGTAGTTGGCCAAGATTGTAGGCGAGTGAGGGTCAGATGGCACACAAGATACATTCAGAATGCGCCCTGTTCGCTCGTATGCCTCCCGAAATGTGGTTGAGCCCCTGCAGAACCAGCTACATTGTCGGGCCCAATCCAGAGTATCAAATCGCGCTCCTGTCCGCCACCATCGCCATACCCAAGTCGGGAAGCTCTCCTGGCATGCCCTAATGCGATGCGCTAGAGCAGGCACCAGCAGCTGCTTCAACTCCTCGTCGGTCCTGGTAGCAACCAGTGCAGCGACCAGCGCTCCTCCTGACGTGCCTGTGATTATTTCCGGCAGAACCCCATTATCCAGTAGCGCTCGCACTACTCCAAAGTGGTAATAAGCGAATGTAGCACCCCCAGACAGGCAAAGGGCGGTTCGTCCGAAGTTGGTGTCCAAATGCTTGAAATGCTGTAATTTCTCCTCGCTAGTGATGCCCTTCGAGTCTGCGACCAGTTGTATGCACGTATGCAGCTCATCAATGTATTCCTGTACCAAGTTTTTGGTACCGGAGTAAGCCTCACTGTAGAGTCGGGGATTCTCCACTCCAGCAAAGTTGTTCTTGACACACGCTTCCAGTAGCGTGCATAATTCTTCAGCTGCAGGCGACTGGCCTGAGCCGCGACGTTTCTCTCGCTTTTCACGTTCCACCTCCCGCCTCACCTTCTTCAGCTGTTTCACTAGGTTGCTTATTGTAAGATGATCGTAGTAGGCGTATTCGTCGATCTCCTTCCACCTCTGATTCCCCAGATGATCATCGAGGGCTCGTGCGGCTTTCTGCCAGTCGGGGTAATTGGTCTGCGCGTGTAATTGCCTTCTGAGGCTTTGTCTTCTGCCCCGCCATGTTACCCACTGCTCATACAGGAAAATGTAAACGCGGGTGAGTGTGTAGGCAAAGGCGAGGGCCGTGATCCAACCAAAGACGGTGAACAAAAAGGGCCACTTCAGAACTGTGTATAGCACACCTTCTCTGGTCTCATCCTTGGTCCGCCTAGGCTCTTTGCGGCGCCCACGTTCGCGCCTGACCCGTTGGTAGATGGGGCGCCAGTCGTTGAGGGCAACCAGCGGTGACGCGCCCTGGTCCGTCAAGGCAAGCTCGAATTGGCGCAAGTCATCGGGATGGATGAATTCTCGGTCGTAATCCGGTATCGTACTGGGATCGTAGGTGTCACCAGCTGCAGACTTTTCCGCCCCGTTCATGATTGATGATAATAATGCATGTTGGGTTAGAGGTCAGGATATGTGTGGTGGGGGGGGAGTAAAGATAATCCTTGTGACGAGAATCAGTGACGCGCACTGGACAAGACATCGACGTCAGAGAGAGTTGACTGACACCGCCTCAAGTCACTGGTGCCACTAATTACTTTGTTAGGCCTCGTGACGTCGAGTGGGTGTGGCTGGGTCTGTGGGGCTGGGCACTTTGACCAGGCTTACAAATGTGGACTAGCCTCAGGAATCAAGGATGAAATATACACTAGTCCTATCTGGGAGATAGTCATGGCGGAGAGTTCCCGACGGCATTCTCTCTAAGCAACCTCGTGGTTGCTTGCTTGCTTGCTTGCTTACTTGCTTGCTTGCTTCCAGCCTCACCGGTGGTCGAGACGAAGAGCCTGCATACTTCATTGGCGGCATACTATTGCCAGGGATGTAGGGTTCAGCGTTCTTTGCGCAAACATCCGTGACTGCAATAAGCAATATGGTAATGCTCGACCCGGTGAGGCCTAGAATTCGGCTGAAGCTGAACCATGCTGCGTAAGAAGCAATATCTGCTCCATCATATTGTTATGTCAGAAAGCATCGGCTTAGCTATACATCCACCGTATCTTCTGTAATGTGTACTCACACATGCACTTGGGACACGCAATCACCGAAGTGCCAGCACACCCTCTTTCCAGTACGCGTTTCTTGAAGTCTATCTATCTGTCTTGTTCGTCCGGGTGGCCCGTGTAGGATTGATAGATCGACATTGCAGACAAAGAAGCCTGCAAATCACTTCCCGAGTGACTATGATCATCGGATAGGTATAAACACCGGATTACGTGATAAGATGTCTGCCATGAGCACGCCCTGCCGCTGAAATCTGGGGAGCATTGGAATGTGTATCGCGCACGCACACGCTGGATGAACACGCGGGATCGGCAAGCAAAAACAGACTGTCGGCATGACTTGGGGGGTGAGATAGGCACAGGAAATTGCTCCTCACAACCTATCGCAGGACTACGATATAAACAGGTCACCGATGAGTGTGGCAGAGGTGGTCAGTAGAGTTGCGAAGCTGAGTCGCTCAGCTGCGCGCCCGTAGCTCCATGATAGGTTTCTGCCTGCCCACCAGCCGGAGAGAGTACCGTCGCCCCTCCCCTCCAAAAGCACAGTCCTACGTACATTAGCCGCCTGAATCTCAATATTGCCGCCCGTCTGGATGAGAATATCGGTGTGGCAAGCGGCACGAGGCATGGCTATAAGCATGGGTTCGATTGGAGTGCTATTCGCAGAACAACCCTTGTCGGACTTTCTGATGCGATGGCGTTTGCAACTAGACATTGCGGGGTAAATTTACCGACTCTCCAAGTGTTCAACAACAATCGGAGACTTCTACCGGGTGGTCTGTGAGAATGCTGGGGTTGGTCAAAGGGGACAGCGCGCGTCGTGGTAGATAATTGGTTATCACCACCAACTATGACTGATACGGAGGCTGGAGGAATCCAGTTAAACGAATGATTTGCAGATACTGCGGATTATACTGGTTGGCGCTACGGACTAAACCTTCCTAGTCGTAAATACCTTTAGTACCCCGCCAATGTTGTAGACTCATAGGGTTTAGCCAGCACTGGAAGGTTCTTCTTGCATGTTGCTGATCTGGTGTCGTACTAGTGGTGGGTTTGGATGCTGAATTTAGCCAACTCGCTTTTAGTATCACATTCACTCATCCTCCGATCGCATCATGCCATGAGGACTAAACTCACCCACCTCCATAGGTAACTTGCTTTTGCCGTTCGATTGTTCTTGTTCCTTCTGTCCAGCAGACAGCATCAGGTTTGCTTCCACACCTTTTATACATCATGCATCTTGTTCACCACGAAACCGGAATTCTTCAGCTGAACAGGGCCACGCAGCAGACATAGATAACTGATGTTTCTAATGTTATTATTTTTCTCCCGTTGCGCGGTAGCCGCTTTTCCGCCCTGGACACTGGGATCCGGTTAACGTTGAACCTTAGCCACAACAAACTATCCCTCTAGCGAGTACCGTCCACGGTTCATGAACTAAGCCTCTGCCGTTTGTCTTCTATCTATCATTAACCTAGTTGATGCTTAGGTTTCCCGAAGTGGTGGGATGCATCAGGGTCAATCCTAATTTTCCACCATCATTCCATCACTGAACTCAACCACCAGCTGCGCCCGTGTTTCTTCCCACCTTTTCAACTAATGCATGAAGATCGCGCCTCGGTGTTTTTTACTTCCTTGGTCCCGTATGCACCATACATACAGGATGTAGTGCGGTACGTAAGTACGGAGAGTCCGCAGAGACGGAACAGACAGACAGCCCTGGTCACTATTCATTTCCCTGTCTGTCTCTCTTCCTCCCACAGCCTTGGCGTTCTCTCCCTGCAGTTGGTTAGTCACTAGTATAGTAGGACACAAAAGTTACCGGGGAAGGCAAATTTTTGCCAATGGACAGCGATGTCGGCTTTGATTGGCGACGACAATCGCGAACGACTGCTGATCATTCGAGCGGTTGACTGCAGTGGAGACCCGCCTTTCGAGTCGTCAAATCCCACTGGAGTGACCCCGTATCCACACTCGGTTTTCCACTCCCGGCCCGGGCTTTCTTGTGTTTTCGTTGCTACTCTACTATCACTCAATCAATGGTTGAAAGGAACGGTCTCCATCATTCAGACTAAACAATGACTCCATTCCTCCACCAGCGAGCGGGCAGATCAGATGTCATAAAGGTCATGTGCACTCCCCCATTGCTGAGATTCATTGGAGACCCGCAATAAACACCAAACCCGGGTCTCCATTCCAACCATCTACAGCACCAGTACACACTATTTGCCTCCCGAGGGGAAAAAAAACAACACCCCAGCCTAGCATTCCTACATCGGAGCCTGCTCGGATGTTTTGCCCTGTAACCAACGTTGTCGCCGACAGGGTTCAACCCCAGTATGTGAGACACCATTCAAGCAGGGATACGGGTAAACAAGGATGAGCCACTTCCAGTACTCCTCGCATGATAATCGATCAGGAAAAGAAAAAAAAAAGGGAACAAGACCTGGAACACCACTCCTAGCGTGCGTTTTCCCAGCGCATGGCAAATTGAAGAAGCATGCGGCCTTCGCCCACAACGCCGAGGAAAGAAAGTTTCTGATTGGCAATACCGCTCCTTTCATCTATAGGCGGCAGGATAAACAACGTCCGATCTAGGACGCACCTGGAGGTTTCCTTCCATGTAGGCATCTGTGTGTAATCCTGCTACTGCAATGATGGTGCCTTGTCATCTAAATCGATCGGGGGGCGAGACACCAGAAGCCAAGAGAATAAAAGGTCCCGACCCTCAACAGTAATTTGCGACGAAAGTAAGGAACGGAGGCGTCGCGAATGTATTATCATGAAACATGAACTCGCTACCGAAAGGTTCCTTTTTTCCAACCCCCCGCTGTCATGGAGATACGTACCAACTGGCGTTGTGTACTGGAAGGAATTGGAGAAATCTCTTCCACGGCACGGAAACCGTCTGCCAAATTTTTATGGCTATCAGTTTAAGGCAACGATCACGGACCATCTGGTCCACTACCATGGACGTCATCGAACAGAGTTCAAAGACCTACCCCTCGTCGCGATCGATATTGTCGGAGATCACAGGAACGTGGGCATTCTGTATGGATGCATAGACGAGGCCGGCAAATGATGAAACCCACCTAGATAGCAGAGGGGCAGGGTAACCATGGATCGAATGATGTTATTGCGAAGGAGGGATGGGAAGTGGGCACCGGAAGAAAGAATGTGGTGTGATGATGGACCATGGTCGGTAAGCGGTGTGACTGACAGCGGGAAGGGGGGAGGGATGGGAAGCAGTGAAATGGAACTGGAACTGGACCTGTAGGCGACACGACGGAGGTTTAGGTTTCGCAATCGAGATAACCACACAGTACATCATCGCTCCCAGCAGCTTTATGTACGCGTAGCGTTCCCGAAGCTCAGGAATGTGGGAGCATGATTCGCTGGGGGGAGAGGTTGGACTACGAAGAAGCAAGACGAGCGATCACTTCGCCATGGCCGATGACCGATGACCCGATCATCCAGTAGACGGTAATGGGTGGTGGTCAGTTGATCATAAAGATGAGACTGAGACCTCCACTTGAGCCTCTCAAGAATGTTAAAGGTCAGTGCGAGATATCTAACCCAGGTACTTAGGTTAATGAATACCAAACTAAAAAGTTAAGTGTCTAATCAATCGTCATAGTTAGTAGTCTTAGTGAAGGGAGTAACTAACCACGTAGATAGATAGACGACAGTTGCTCCATAAAATTGTTCTGCTGCCTCGGAAGAGAGAGACGTCTTTCCGAGTTTCAGGCAATGACCGATGGATGGATGGATGGGAGGAATGGATGGATGCAGGGCGAGTCTCCATCCGGACAAGGCGAGAAGTTTCCAAAAGTTGCGATGTGTCCGATTCCTCTTTTTAATTATCTCGAAGCCGCTACTGTATGGTCATTTCTGGTATATACGTATAGTCCCAGGTACGAACTTTTAGTAAGTATTAGTAGGTATCTAAAGCTGCCTCATCCCGGTCGGAATACTTTTAGTAACATCCTAGAAAGCCCCCTAGAAATGTCCGTGATGTTATTTTGGCTCTCGCCGGTGTCCTCCTGCTTCCATTTTGGCCCTCGAGGAAGTCGCTAAAAATCCATCCTCTAGAGCTTCTCGAGTAAAGCGTCATGCAGGTGCTGGAGAAACGCCTGTGATTTGTCGAAAAGGCAAGTACATGAATGTCCGCCAGGGCGCTATCAGCTGCACGTTTGGGGACCCACCGCCAATCACGGGGCGACTTGACATCGTCCGTCCAGTTACCGCCGGCACAGTTGCATCCGCCCAAGAGGCGGGTCCTCCTTCAAGCACCGCCCGGTTCAACCAAACACTGCGCTTCATTCCGTTTCTTACCCCCCTCCTTCCTCCATCCAGCATACACAACCAAACAAAAAAAAAACTTTTCACCCGACCTGCAGCATACTGGAGCCGGGCTTGCAGTGGCTTCGAAATGGTCAAGGGAAAAAAGAATTAAGAAAAGAAAAGAAAATAGTATAGCCTACTTACGTTTCCTAGTTACTTGGCAAAATTTGATCAACATGGTGTGTGCGTTCTACGCCCTCCAGATTGGCCCAGAAATCCTTCCGCCCTTCAAACGAAAAGTATGTGCGTACGGAGTTTTCCTTTCCTACTTAAACATTATTATTACTATTATTGTTGTAGTTGCATACTACTAGTCCTCCGTTACTGCATCAGCCAAGTCCAAGGGTCGGCGATCGGGATACCCGCTTCGAGGGATTCGGAAAGATTGCTCCACTCTTCGCCAGAGCCGAAGAATGGCACTCCTTGGTTGACCGTTGCAGTGATACTGTATGCTCCATCCTGAAACCGATGTTGACTGATATCAGTAAAAGTAACTTTTGGATATCCATTGGTACTGAGAGGGGAAGCGCGATAAGAACTACTCCTACTATGAGAAATGCCAAAATTTTGAGAGATCGCTTATCAATTCATCATGGCCTTGTCCAACTGAGTAATCCAGAGTACCCCGCTAGATAGAGTTTCCGGAGAAGGCTAACCAGTCATTTGAGGTATGGGTCCGTATTTATCAATTGTATCTGGGCGCTTTCAGTTCTTTCTTGATAGGACCCGGTAGACAAGGGAACGAAGCTGAGTTGACGAACAACTGGATTTAACAACGGACCCTTCCCGACGGTCGCCACCGACTGGTTCATGGATACCACGATGATTTGATGGATGTAAAAAAAGGGCTAAAACAACAATGCGGACAAAATTAAGGCGAATAGAAAGTCAAAAAGACCAAGTCGATTACATCTTTTTGTTTTTTACTTGACTTGACTATGGGGTGGTATTCCCGTACCCGCCGTGGTCTTAGCGTACCGTACGATACGTATGCAAGTACGCATGTACCTCTGGACGACGCCCGGTGCAGCGGCTCCCTGACCAAAGGGAGAGCAGGACAAGATAACAGGCGAAGATTTCTATATGATAATAAATTATATTAGTCCCAGTATCGCCAGCCCGTCCTTTTTTCGCCTCTTCCCTCTTTTCCCTCCGTCTCTACCAGAACTGACATATTTTTGCTCAAACCAACAAAACACCTGCACTTATCTCGAGACTGTCTCGCATCGTCTTGTGGTTTCTCTTTATTTCTCTTCTGACCGCGCTTCCCTCCCTCCCTCCCTCTTCTTCCCGACAGTAATTTCGAAGGCATACCTTGTCAGCCAACAACAATTACTACTTGACCCGGGCTTACCACACTTACCACACCCCCCTACGCCCCTCCCCCCCTCAGCTGATTGCTCCGGTGCTCATCCATACCCACTCCTCCCTCCCTCTCAATCCTCCACTACAAACCACCCCCCCGTCACGTATCGTCCACTAGTCGAAGGTCCGTGGTGCTTTGCATATTAGCTCCCCCGGTCCTTTTCTTTTTTCTATCCAGCCCATTCATCTTCTCCTTTTTCGGTGGTCACTCCTGCTTCAGCTCGCCTCTTCCTCCTCCCTCAGCTTCGTCCCGGTGACAGGCTTCTCTTCTCATCTGACATTGGAGACCGTCCCTTTCGTCTCCAACTCCCCCATCCCTCCCTCTTCCTCGTGTCTAGCATAGTTGTGGTGGGCGGCTTCGTGATTTTGTTCGACGCTTAGTTTATCGTTATTGTGCAACCCCCCTATATCTTCGAGGTACATCCCAGCCTTGTCTCCTTCCTCTTGACAATAGTTACGAGGCATAGCGCCTTGGGCTTAGCTATCTAATTTTGAGTTGTTGTTGTGAGTCACGGCTAACTCTTGCTCGCTCTCCTATCCTGCAGGTCGTCTTTTTCTTTCGCTTTTTGTCTTGCCAGCAAGATGTCGACTCTCGCCGTCCCTACTACGAGTACTTGAGCGTTCCTCTTCAGAGTCCGCCTAACCAGATAGAGTTTTGTTCTCGTTGGGCGAAGCAATTTCCGTAATGGAGAAGCTGAACACTGAAGATGGACAGCTCTTCATAAAAGTTCGTGCGCCCCCTCATACCCATTCATTTGGGCCCTTCTGTCTCGTTTCTAGTCTGCTACGCTTGCTTGTTTGCTAACTCTAACCTCTTCGTCTAGAATCTCGCTAGTTTTGTTCGTACACACGAAAAGGCCCTTGCAAATGCGCTGCAATTAAAGCGCCAACCAACCAAAAATGCGCAATCCTCCCATACCCAGTCGGGCTCGTCGAGCTCGGCTTCCTCCACTCTTGCAGCGGCCCTGTCCTTCGGGGCACTGAAATTCACCTCGCAGAATGTTAAACCTGCCAAACTTACCCTCACCCCCCATCACCTCTTTTACCTTTTGTCCCGCTTTGAAGAACTTTCTATTGCCGTTGGTCCCCTGAATGTTAGGCTGGAGAATATCCACACGGATGGATCGCAGTCCTATGTGTCATTCCTGAATAAGCCTCAGCGATCCAGGGGTGACCGGGACTCTATCCACTCCGTGTCCAGTGTCCGTAGCGTCATGTCTGGTATGAGTTCACTTTGGTCTTCATTTGGTTTGGTTTCCAAGGACTCGGCTTCCAAATCTGAGAAGGCCAAAGCAGCTCTAGAAGCGGATACCAAATACCTATACTCTGCCTTTACCAAGATCCCCTGCCTGCGTTTAGCCCCTGACCGCCGTGCCCGGTTGATCCGTGGTTACGAAGAATTCCCTTTTGACACCGCCGTTCCACTGCATTCCTTTAAGAATTTGAGCGCGTTAGAGATTATTGATATAGACTTTCGCTCGTTCTTCGGCTGGGATAGGCTGTCCGAGCAGTTGCGTACGCTGACAGTCAAGAGGGCTAATATCGAGGACCCAGCAGAATTGCTCACAGGCATTGTGCTGGATGACATTGACAAACGTCGGCGGCGTTCGTCAAAGCATCACCACTCACCGATGATGGGATGGAGTGGGAATGCAAACCCCCAGCCAGTCAACAAGTCGGAGCTGTCTGGGTCGCTCTCTGCTCCCGGGTCGCCGGTTGCTGATGCACCTTTTGGATCCAGCGCTAGCCCCCAAGCAGCTTCGATGATCAGGATGGCATCAGAGGGGTCCAAAGCTCGACCACGCACCGGAAGCATTTCCCCCACACGTCCCACCAGCTCGAAACACTCAACTTATCGTCATGGCCGTGGAACCGCCTCCCGAATAAGACGTACCGGCTCAGGTAGTTCCAACTCCAGCGAAACCTCGGGTCACCGCAGCGCAAGCTCTTCCAATCTACTCTCCGGTGTCTTGCCGGCACACAAGTGGCGGTTCTTGCGACACCTTGGCCTCCCCGACAACTCCTTGACCTCCATCACTGCCGCCGGCCTTGCCCCAGTGGCCAATACTCTACAATCGCTCGATCTATCGTCGAATCTTTTCACCGAAGTACCCGACAGTCTTGCGTCCCTGGTTGCCTTGAGAGCTTTGAACCTCTCTCATTGCATGATCGAATCCCTCCACTCCTTATCGCGGAACCCTCTTCCCGCCATAACCGCACTCAACCTCCGTGGGAACCGTCTCCGTTCTCTCGCGGGAATTGAGAGGCTGCTTTCGTTGGAACGGCTGGACCTCCGAGACAACAACCTTACGGATCCTACTGAGATTGCTAGACTCACCAATCTCCCTGAGATACGGGAGATTTGGGTTTCTGGCAACCCCTTTGTGAAAACACATCCGAACTACCGTGTTGTGATTTTCAACTTGTTCCGACGCACTCCGGGTTACTCCGAGGACATCATCATCGATGGGTCGGGACCAGGATACACCGAGCGAAAGCAACTGGTGGAGCGAGCTGCGGAACCCGAGGCTGCACCCGTCATACGATCTGCTGCGGCAGATCTTTCTACCGTGGTCAGCAAGCCCCTGCACACAGTCCCCCAGGAGCCTTCGCTGCCTTACGAGCAAATTGGACCAGTCGGACGAGTGGGCCAAAATGGAGTCGATGTTGGATCTACTCGTCGGAAGAAGGGTACACGGCGGAAGATTTCCGATCGCCCAAAAGATAAGCCTTCCGCTGATGTTAATCGTGATTCAGGTGCGGTGGTGCCTTCTATTCCTTCTGTTCAGCCTGTGCAATTACCTGTTGATCCGTTTGTCACGGCAACACCCGACCGTCAATGGAAATCTGATGGTGGATCTCAGGCCAGACCCGCAAGTCCCAAGATCCCGGAAAGGACTGAGATTGGACGCGACTCATCCGCTCTTCAGACCCAAGACCAGCAGCTTGGCCTCCAGCGTGCACTCCAGGGTAAAGACTGGAGTGTAGACGGAGATTTCTACAAACGGCAACTAGAGGCTCTCAGGCAAGAACTTGGAAATAGCTGGCTCAGGACGCTCGAGGAACACAGGTGGAAGGATGTGCAGACGGACATCAATGTGTCTTGTACTGCAGCTGATTATGCTGATCCCACGAGGATCCCAGTGGATCCCCTGACCAGGGTGAATCCCCAGGTCATCCTGAGTGGTGGCCATGCCCTAAATTGACTGTGCAGAAAGACGACAGTCGAAAGGGCCATTAAGTTAAAAAATAAGAAAAATCAATGGAAAAAAAGTTGAAAACAACGAAGAGAAAAATAGGAAAAGAAAAGTCAAGAGGACAAGGAGAGAGATCGAAGGAACAAGGGAGCAAAGATCATCTTGACCTCATCCATGGTCGTTCCTAAGTCTGGAATTTCGGTTTACACCTTTCACACCCCCAGAGAAAAGTTCGGTTTGGCTTCGAAAAACGCAGTTCTTCCACGATACCTTCCGGTTTTTAACTACACTCGACCTCATACACGCAAACCTTTTAACGACATGCTTACGGCAGCTGGTTGCTGAACTGCATCATTCACGGCGTTAGGTGATCTTTCAGAGCTTACGGCCCGGATGCGTGGAACACACGATTGATTCTTCTTTCCTCCTTCATCTTTCTCCTCCCTCTCCCACTCCTCTCTTGCTTCGCCGCGGCTATACACCACCTACGGCCCGCATCCGACCGTTCCCGGCTGGTCCATCTGATAGGATTACTTTTTGTTGTTATTTGTTCTAGACGGCTTGTACTGTATTTTGGGCAGGAGTGCTGGTGTCCCGGAGTTCAACTGGTGTCTTGATTTATATACGACGTGATGCTTTGCTTTTTCGGTACTGCTCGTTGTGTCTTGACTGTTACCCGTTTCTACTGCTTGCACATGACATTCCGCGCACGCGATGATCCTTCAGGATGTATACTCAAGTTGTTTCTCCTCTTCACGTTTTCTTTTCTTCCTTTTGGCGTGCTGCCGTTTTCTACGGATTATTTTCTGGGACTGCCATGGCCCATGATGAGGTTCGGACCTAATGCATGAGACACGAAGATGTTGTGACGAGTCAGATCAGATGTTCTCTCTTCCCCGCGGTAGCGCCAATAGTTGAAATGCAATGCGCCATGGGCGCTTTCGGATCAGGTGTGTCACACGTAGAGTTGAAGAAGGGTGGTGGGGGGCCAGTAAAGAAGGAAACCCCCCACTGGTGTAGAATCCGAGGTAGATTTGCCATAGATAAGTGCTTGTCAGGTACACCCCGGGGATTTTTAGATGGAGGAAGCCAAGGGAGATTGAGGCGTTGAAGCGAAGCATGCAAGCGCTCGTGCGACAACAGGGAGGGGGGTCATGGGCATACGTAAGTAGGTCCGAAGTATGGATGGACATAATGTATATGTACATCAGGTAGGTAGATCACCGGCAGGCATGTCGAGAATCCACACACGGTTTCAGCGCCGTGGGGATCGTTGTTTGAGAGGGTAGAAGAAGCTGGACTGCTGCAAAGAGGGGGGGAAATGCGGCATCAATTGGCGGTGCTCCCTTGCAGCAGGGAGATGGTGCCGCAGAGTGAAGAGAAAGAAGATCTGGGGTTGAAGGTCAAATAGTAGTAGTTAGTAAGGAGGTAGAGTTTTTGACAAAAGTACGGTGGAGGATGAAGCGGAGATGTAGTCCCCTGAAGAAGGAGGGGTATGCAAAAAGAGAGTTAAGAGATGAGAGTCGAGACGTTGACAGACCGTTGGAAGGAGAGAGTTAGTAGTATCTACTGTTTAGTATTAGTAGAAGACACACACACCATGAAGATGAAGGCTTTACTGTTTACTGAATGGCGCGCCGCCCGCCGCCCGGGCGATGAGCCAATCAAAAGAATCAACAGTGAGGCCGGGGCCCTTCCGTTTTGCCATCCGGGACTCTCATCAAGAGTTCCTCCTCCCTTTGCGTTGCGTTGCTTTGCTTTGCGCTGCGTTGCTTTGGCTTTGCTTTGCTTTGCTTTGGTCTCTCTTCTTCCCTCTCTCGCCCAGTCCAGGTTGCTGCTGGTCCTCTCGCGCGCGTCTCAACTGGTGAGCTTGTCCTCCTTCGTTACTGCCGTCCTCTCTTCCCCCTTCCCCATTTCCTCCACCCCCCCAAATCTTGCTATCATCTATCTCTATCTTGCTTGCTTTCTTCGCATTCTGTCTGCTCGTGGTTCTCCTGTTTCTCGTGGAATTTGGCGCGAAAATCTTTCTTCAGCCTCGAACGGTTTTCCCAGAAGTCTTGCAAAAGAAAGAAAGGAAGAGATCGATCGATCCCTTGATTGCCGGCAACCAAACACAATCAATCCCAGCTGCTCGCGCGCCCTTTCTCTCTCTCTCTCTCTCTCACTCTCACTCTCTTGTCACTGACACCCTCACCCTCTTACACTTCTCCCTCCCTCCCTCTTCCCTCTCTTCCATCTTTTCTCTTCCCCCTTCTACGTGACTTTGATCGGTTCTTTTACACACCCCTCACGCCACATCAGGTGCAGAAGAAATAGGATTCGTTCCCACTTCCCCAGCGCTCTCCTTCCACCCCATCTTCGAAGGAAAAAAAGAGCTCGCCTCCAATCTCGGCTTCGCTTGTTGGCCCTTGTTTTCCTCCCCAACCCACCCCGTTTCTCTCCCGCCGCCGGCTGCTATTTTTTGCAACCGCCCCGTCCAGAAGCAGCCTTTCGCCCAGCGATATCTTTCTCCTCTCAAACCTTGCTAGCCGCATCTCGCCGTTATCAACGCGCTTCGCCTTCATCCTCCCTCCCGTGTGAAAAATTTATCCAAGCCCGCTTGCTTTTCTCATCGGCGTCTGGCATCGCTGTCGAATCTTCTCAGTGTCCCCAAGGCCATTTGGCCTGTTGCCGCTTTTGACTTCCCCTTGTCTCTTTTAGATTCTGTTTGGTAAGCCGACTTCTTAACTCTTACTACTTGCCAACTTCTCACCCCTCCTCTCCCCCGTCTCGCCCCGTTTCACCCGCCATCCAAGATCAACCAGCTTGAAGAAAAGAAAAAATTTCCCGGGCGCATTGATCACGCGTTTCTCTCCTCGCCTTTTGCTAGACCTTATTTCAAAGTCTGCTCTGAACTCTCTGGAATATTTCTAATCTCTATATTTTCGCTGCCACAGCCTATAGACGCCGCGTCATCAAATCGTATCGCCTACCGAGTCCTCCGCAAAGCTTCCCTTTTCGCGCCCTTTCTTTTCTTCTTCCGTTGCTCAACACTTGTGTTAATTGATCCTTTCTTTTTCTTTTTCTCTTTTTCTTTTTTTCGTTCTTTTTTTAGGTTCGCACTTTTTCGTTTTCTTCCTGCGTCGTCTCTCGTTGGAGTCGCTCAAACATGGCCGATCAAGACGTGGATTTGGACTCGATCATTGATAGATTGTTGGAGGTGAGGGGCAGCCGGCCTGGCAAGCAGGTTCAGCTTCTGGAGTCGGAGATCCGTTATCTTTGCACCAAGGCTAGGGAAATTTTCATCTCGCAGCCCATACTGCTGGAATTGGAGGCACCCATCAAGGTATAACGCCATCCCTCGTTTGTCCCGGCAGAGGTCCGGGTCATCGCGTCTATCTCTCGCGGGGAAACTAATCCGTTGGCGCTTATTAGATCTGCGGTGATATCCACGGCCAGTACTACGATCTCCTACGTCTTTTCGAATACGGTGGCTTCCCGCCCGAGGCCAACTACCTGTTCTTGGGTGACTACGTTGACCGTGGCAAGCAGTCGCTGGAGACCATCTGCCTCCTTTTGGCTTACAAGATCAAGTACCCCGAGAACTTCTTCGTTCTCCGTGGTAACCACGAGTGCGCCTCCATCAACCGTATCTATGGTTTCTACGATGAGTGCAAGCGGCGGTACAACATTAAGCTGTGGAAGACTTTCACGGACTGCTTCAACTGTCTCCCCATTGCGGCTATCATCGATGAGAAGATCTTCACCATGCACGGAGGTCTGAGTCCCGACTTGAACTCGATGGAACAGATCCGTCGTGTGATGCGCCCCACTGATGTAAGTGCTCTTTTCCTATCGATATATTGGGGTCTGGTCTTCGGCTTTTGTGAAAAGCCGAAGACCAGACTCTTTTCGTTTGTTATCATAAGGGTCCTGGGAACATTTAAAAATCTCTGCCGGGCTCCCTGAAGCCTTGAGCTTCGCCTGCTAACGACGATAGATTCCCGACTGCGGTCTTCTTTGCGACTTGCTCTGGTCCGATCCCGATAAGGACATTACTGGCTGGAGCGAGAACGATCGGGGTGTATCCTTCACATTTGGTCCGGACGTCGTGTCGCGGTTCCTCCAGAAGCATGATATGGACCTGATATGTCGCGCACACCAGGTCGTCGAGGATGGCTATGAGTTCTTCTCCAAGAGACAGCTGGTTACGCTATTCAGTGCTCCCAATTACTGTGGCGAGTTCGACAACGCTGGTGCGATGATGAGCGTCGACGAGAGCCTACTTTGTTCCTTCCAGGTAGGTCCCAACCAAACAACTTTGTACTTTAGTGAAGGGATTGGTTTTGAAACTAACGGGTATTTTTTTCTCGCAACAGATCTTGAAGCCAGCAGAAAAGAAACAAAAGTACGTTTACGGGGGCATGAGCTCAGGCAGGCCCATCACTCCTCCGCGAAAGCAAAAGAAGAAGTAAGGAATCATACGAGCTTTTCCATGTGCAGCAGGTTCGGGCGGAGATAAAAACGTCATAACTCCCACACAATGTCACACTACAACGAGAGACCCAAATCCCCAACGACATTCGATGGCCATACATTAGACGATCGGCAGCAGCAGTACACCCCAGCCGCCCGAGAACCTCACGACACGCAGAACGTCTCAATTTTTCCCTCCGCGCATACCAGACTCCAGCGACTCCCCCAGTCATTGATTTCCCGCTGAATGTGTTTCATTTCTATATGGAAGGTAGTTTCTGCTCCAAGTAGGGGTTGGTGTTTTCTCATTCTTGTTGATCTTCATTCTTCAACTTCCCTTTTTTCTTTTTTACTCCTTTTCCTTTTCTTTTTCTTCCCATTGTCCAACTTGTGTTGTCCGAATTCATTTGACAGGAAGGGGAAGCGACGGGCTGCATCTGGTGTTTTCCAAGTGCGTTTTTTATTCAAAATCTTCCTGTGAGTGTAATGCCAACCAAATAAGCAACGACACGCCCGTGTCTTTCGAGCGTCCAAAACCAAGATCCTCCTCCCCGTCCTCTTCCTTTTTCCCTTCGCCCATCTAGCCACACTGTCTATACCCCTATCCTACCCAGCAGACACCGATCCGTGAAATTGCATTCAGCTAGCTTGTCAATGAAAATCAATGCAATCGACAAACAAACGACAATCCGCCAACCCAACATTCAAACTACGCAGCAAACTACCACCTACCTATCACGGAAGTGGACCTCAATGTGCGGGAAAGCGGGGGAGAAGGATACAAACCAAATCAAACTGGAATGGAATGGAAGGATGTATGGGAATGTACAGATCGGGAAAGGGGTTATCGTTGTGCCTGAATGACGTCTTGTTTTTTTCTCTCTCGCCGGGGTATTGTATTCGTCTCGTGTGACATCGTGTGTGTATACGTGTGTGCGTGTGTGCGTGTGTATTATTTGTACCAACTATCCTATCCTATCCGGTCTATCTATCTATCTAACCTTGGTCTCTATTTCTCCGTATTTTTTCCCCCTAGATTCTCCCACCAGGCGGAACTCGGGATAAATGGTATTACATTCGATTAGTAAAGTAAGTATTAGTAGGCTGACTATATGCATAGTAATTGTTAGTAATTAGACTTTTCGTTTCTTCGTATGGAACTCGGGACTCCTTTCTATTGATTAACTACTATCTAGTCAGCCATCTGTCTTTACTATCAGATGTACTGAGTACTTGTGTGTAGTATGTGGATTTGCCAGAAATAGTAGTAGTGGATTGGGACTCATGACTGAAGTAGTAGGAAATATGTCCAAATAGTAGTAATTCTTAATACATTACTACTGCCTGTGGTGAGATGGATGGATGGATGGATGAATGTATTCTAGGGGTTTTGTATATTTGGAATTCTCGTTTCTGCGTACTCGGTCGTATCTAGAGAACAGAAGCAAGCAAGCTAGCAAGCAAGCGGTGAAAATGGGGTGACTGAACTAGATTGTTACAGTATAGGTGAAGGAAAAGGGAGAAAGTGAGGGGGAAGGATATGTCTTTGTTTTTTTATTTGCTTTGTTGGTTGATTGTTTGGTCTTGAAAGGCGAACGCAGAGAAAACAAGAGGAAAGGTGGCTACAACGAGATGAAAGGGACAGCGTGATAAAGCACCAAGAACTGATCGAAACATCGTCAAAAGATCAAACTCCGAAAAAAAAGCACACAACATCATAGTATGAATCAGTGTAGGTGACATGACCATTTAAATGGTTGAACAATCGAGATATATTGTAGATGGGTCATGGGACTATTATGCCTAGCGAGTACTTTCTTCCAGGCAGTTGTGATGGCCTGTCTGATTGGACGGAGTGGAGTTCATCTCATTGAACTGCATTGGATTGGATTGGATTGGGATATATGGAATTCCTACACCCTCCAAGGAGGGTTCGGAGGAAGATGAGAGGATCGCGTTTAAGAGGGGGATCGTCGGGAGTAGAGGGATAGGAGAACAAAAATAGAGTAGTCGGGATATATCGCAACAATAAAGTCAACAGCTGGCTAGCAAGCGAGCTAGCTGACTTAGACGTATTGAGACAGCCATCTGATACCTTCACCGTATCCTACAAGGCACAAAACGATTAGCTCCTGGTCGACATTGGTTTGGATATGAAAAATCCCACTCACCCTGTCTCATGACAACACTGCACATGAACACCTCAATGGGCCGGATTCCCTCGAGAGGAACCTTGCCCTTACCCGTGGTCTGGTACAATCCAAGCTGGTGGCGCAGCTCATCCTCGCTAACAGCATCCGGGTGGTCGATCTTGTTTCCGAGGATCAGGAAAGGAACCTTAGCCAGCTCCTCCATGGCAAGGAGAGCGTCAAGCTCGGCCTTGGACTCGGGGAAACGCTCGTGGTCCTTGGCGTCAACGAGGAAGACGATACCGCTAACTTCGGGGAAGTAGTCCTTCCACAGACGACGAGCTATTTAACAAGAATTGCTACATTTAGTTTTCTTGTTTCGATCTATACCACGGGGCTACGAGGTGTGTTACTCACCCTGCTGGTGACCACCCAGGTCGAAGGTCGTGAAGCGGTTGTTGCCGATGGCGAGTTCTTCGGATGCTGTATTCAAGGAGTGCGTTTAGCCCATGTTCATGAAAATCGATTCTCCTCGGTCGCTGTCGAATAGTCCCTCGCTGGCATGTTCGTGCGGGTGATACGTACTCGGGTGAGCAGTGGGCTGGAGGATGGCAACCCGGTCGTTCTATTATCAAACACAGATGTTAGCTTATCGTCCACATCTCTCGCGGCTCTATCCCTGCCGTGGTGGCATTCCCTTGCGATCGGAGTCGATCCCAGGCGATACCATATCCACCATTGTTGCCATCAAAGCAGAGCTTGCCTGCGACTAAAGGAAGCTCACATACCTTCAGCATGTGCAGGAGGGTCGTCTTTCCGGCATTATCGAGACCGAGGAACAGGAGCTTGGCGTGCTTGTTGAGCAGGCCAAGGGAGGCCAGGAGATCGTAGACTATTCGGAAAAGATGAATCAGTAAATTGGCATACGAGAGACACTGTGAACAGAAGAGAAACGATGAGGATCCAATGGATCCAAGAGCGTGCAGGGCAGGTCTGCAGACCACCTGATCGGGGCCAAGTCGGCGGATGGCAAAACAGGAGACTACCTACACCAGTTAATGAGCCACATGGTGAAAATCGACTCAGAACCTCAGACTATGGATTTGCGGATCGGGTAGCAGCACGAGGCAGGGTGCAAAATGGGCCAAATGGCGGTGGTGAACGGCTGGGCTGGAGATAAGAGCAGGAGAAGGAGCCAGGTTGCGGTCGCCGACAGTTGACGTTGGACTTTCGCTTGCCCGGACGCTTAGCCGAGCGCTTAAGCCAACTCAGCCGCCGGGAGATCATCCGCCCCGATCGAGTCGTTTGGAACACTGTGAAACTACTACATTATTTCAACGGAAACCTGAACTGGTTCTACCGTCTAATATACGCAAGAGAGTAGTTCATCATACGTTGGCATATTCAATGACACATGTCATTCGCTCTGTATCTACAAATTCGATAACGAAAGCAAACGGGGGTATACGCGCAGCAAACCGCCTCCATGCAACCCAGGCTAACCGAGCAATGATGCCGACCGAAACGTCAAATCCGCCGCTCAGCAGCGCGGACGTGAACAATGAAGAAAAGAAGGAATAAACAAGCTATGTATAGTGAGAAGAAGAGCGAAAAGAAAGGGGGACGGGCGAAAAAGAAAGAATCAAAGGTAGCCACCCCTGTAAATGCAGACGGGGCCCTCCGTGCGAATAGAAATCCGATGGACACGTTGTGAGGACAAGAATAGCAACATCGAAGACAAGGGGTGTAGCGAACAACGCTCAATTGGAATTTGTACACCACGTCGGTCCGCTGGTCATGAAAGTGGACGACTGAAAGGGTGATAAGAAAAATTCGAACTATGTACAAGAATTTATCGAATCCCACGCGGAATTTGAGGTCTAAACAGATAGGACGAGCTGGGCGTTCTCTCCAACGCCGTAAGCTCTGCACCTCTCAGCAACTTCGAGGCCAAGCTCCTTCATCCGTTCAGCACCTTTTCCGGGGATCGGTCGCCGTACCATCTGCTCCTTGGCAGCTTTGCGGCAATGCTGACGCCAGAACTTCTCCTTTCGTTTCTGGCGTTTCTTCTCGAGACCCTCAACAATATCGATGGGACCTCTGGTGTGCACCTCACGGGTGCGTGACGACTCGCGCTCCGGCGATTCGTAAACAGGGACAATGCCAGACCAGCGGTGAGACTTGTCCAAACTAGTGAAGAAAGGGTTGGGCGTCCGAGGCAGGGACTTGGTACGAGACATCGCGGGACGTTGCACCAGTTCACTGATGTTCAGTCCCCGCGACGGCACAGCAGGGGCCTCATCCGCAGATGCCAGGTCATCCTTGGAAGACCGCAGCTTCATCGGCGGCGGCGGAGAGCGAAGACGCTTTGGCGAGGAACGACCCTGACGGCGAGGCGGAGGTGAGACCATACGTCTGGGAGACGTACGAGGAGAAGGCTTCTGCGCAGAGTCTCTACCAGTCCGTCCCCGAGGTCCTTCATCCATCACAGATTCCTCAATATCATCCTCCTCATCCTCCTCATCTTCAGGATCCGAAGTGGGAAAGCTGGGATCGATATCTTGAGGGATGACAATTTGCTTGGAAAGACGGCGCTGCTCGATGCAAGACTTGTAGGCAGCCTCCAGAGGCCGGTCTTCGTCGAAAGTTCCGCAGACGAAGTCCGTACTGTCGGGAAGGTTAGGTGTGCCAGGACGCAACTTTGGGATCTTCATGGGCGATCGGCTAGTTGTCTTGGCAGATAAGACAGGCGACCATCTTTGCTGCTGCTGCACATCGTTGGCAGAATCGAAAGACGTGTTCGAGTCGCGGCGACTGAAAGGGTGGCGAGCGATGTCGGCATTTTGAGGGCTGGTGGCAGCAGTAGTGCTGGTCGGAGCCCAAAAATCGTATTCCGAACCATCATCACTCTCGTCTGACTCTGCAAAACCAGCTTCATTATCCGATTCATTTCCGTCATCAGAAGAGAAATCGTGAACGGTCGAGTCGTCATCGGAGTCCTCAACATCATCTTCGTCATCTTCTTCGAGCGCCTCTTCCTCCGCTTCCTCTCCCAGCTTCCTAATAGCATTCTCTTTCTTCATACAGTCATTAAGCGTAATCTTCTCCGAATACTCTCCGGACTTCGTTACCCACTCGTCATCTTCCTCGACGGAGCTGGCAAATTCGTGAAAGCGAGTAGCCTCGGACTCTTCGAACTTACCCAACCCCTTGGTCGGGACACCCCGGCGATCAATCTTCTGCTCCTGGGAAGCCTTTCTCACCGGTGAGGGAGCAGCCTTCTCCGGGGAAGCCTTGCGCGCCATGGGAGCAGGCGACCCGCGGGGACGCGGCCTGCAGCCACCGCGAAGTGGCGACCTCTCCCGGCGAGTTTCGGGATCCCGTGCCGGGCAAACAAAGGTGAGAACGGTCCTCCGCTTAGGCTCAGTTGGTGTAACGCTGGCGTCATGGATCTTCGTGACTGGACGCTGTGGTGAAGGGTTCTGTGGCTTCTGCTCCTCGGCTTTGCGTCCGCAGGCGAAGCTGATACACCGCTTGCGTCCCAGGTTCGCCTCGACAGCCGACTCGCCCACTTCCACCGCCTCCGCCTTTCTCTTATCACCCATCGAAGACGTGTTGTTGGACAAGTGAGAGGGCAGAGGCGGGCTGGGTGTATTGGATAGAGAGGGGCTTGTGAGGCCACCATCGCTGGTCAACTCGGCTGTAGAGATGCCGCTGATGTTGGTATAGGTGTAGGAGCGGTAGAAGGAGTGCTCCTGAGATGGTGAGTGACGATCGGCTGGGCTTGGAGGGGGGCTGCTCTTGAGGGCGCGGGTGAGGAGGGACTCCTTCCGGTCAGTCATGGCAGCGGTGGACTTGACGTAAACGACACCGTCGTCCATGTTGTTCATCGACGTGTTCAGAAACCGATGATCAGGGGGCTCATCAATGTCCTCGACCATGTCAGCTTCCTGAGGGGCAGACTTGCTGGACTGATGAGGTGAGAGTAGCATCTTCAGTAGGTTATGTATTGAGGCAAATGTTCTTTCACCACCACGCAAGTGCGCCATCCCTTCGAAGATTAGGTATATTAATAGTGAGAGGGAAGACAGGAACAAGTAGGTGGAAGGTGTTGAGGTGCGGTGTCAAAAGGTTAGGTGGAGGGTTGGCGGTGGTAGTATAGTGTGACTCGATGAAATGGTGGCGGTAAGTAGTATTATGAGGGTATTCAAGATGGGTTGATTGTTAGGGAAGAGAAGAATGAAGAATAATTGCATCAATCAAAGAGTAAAATAGAAGATGCACTCTCGTTATCGATCAATAGTAGCACTGATCGACCCAGAGGGCGGAAATGAAGGGTGTCCTTAGTAGGACGATGATTGTCATGATATAGAACACATGGTGTAGTAGTAGGAAAGAGGCGTAGTATAGTAGTTTAGTAGGTCCAAGAAAAGGAGAAGAGCGTCAGGTATGCGGCCAAGAGATGGACTTACGCCTTCTTCAAAGATTGGCAGCTCAAAGAGCGCCAGAAGAAGAAGACGCGTCGAAAGAGTTTCGCAGGTGCAATGTGTTGGCAGTGCTAGGTGGGATTGAGATGGAGAGAAGGAGGAATGTAGAGATGATCGGAAAATAAAAATGTAATTAAGGGAGGGGGGGGGAAGTGGTTTGCGGAAAGGCGAAAATAAAAAAAAATTAAAAAATTAAAATTCGAAAATCAAAATTTATTATTAAAAGAAAAATCAAAAATCAAAAACCAAAGAAATCCTCGGGGGTTGTCGCCGTAGTATTGTTACCATACGCTCAGTACTGCGTATGAACGAGGTATTGGGAGTCACCAGCCAAAAGGAGGGCGGGTAAAAGGGCGCAGCCTCAGCGAGTAAATGACGATTCGCAGGGTAAAAGAGGCGGGAGAGCGGCGCCAGGTTTGTGATCGAGTGACCGGGTTGGGGTGGTCAGGAGTGGTCGCCACACACTGGCACGGCAGGGTAAGGCCGAAGGAGGGCAGGGAAAAATGGTGGGAAAACAAAAAAGAGCACCACGCCCATTACCCACGATTACAATTTCGGATCTTCTCTGGGGCTTCTTTTCCTTCCTTCTGCAGGCGGACGAGAGACGCTCGGTCCAACCAACCCCGCCAAGCCCAGACCCACCCTGTCGTTTTCCTCGCCAAATCCATGCATGCTTCGGTTCCTGCGGCTACGTGACGCTGGCCAGTACCAATACCTTGGTATTCTTTACGCTCCCGTCAATACACACCCGTCATGCTACTTACTAGTAGGCAATTACCGTCAAGCAAAAACCCCGTCATGGAGGGAAGAGGCTCAGAGTCATAAAGGATTGGAGAAGAGTCATTCAAAGGAATATCTAGTTGAGGATCACGGATCTCATTGTCTGCTGAGATCTGCGAGTTATGACTGTTGTTCCTTTGACCTGATTCAGGAGTCACCGGTTTTGTAACGAGCCGGTTTCATCCATGGGGCAAGCCAGCACCGAAGTACAAAAAGCAAAAGACTATGAGGCATTTTGGAGGTTGGCTACCAAGGCGGGCTAACCTCGATCTTACTAACCCGGTCAGTAAGAAATCAATCCCAGACCATACTTACTGTGGTCTTAATTGGGAAAAGCTGCCATAAAAAAAAACATCACACCCCCCCTCCACCTACACTAAGGTCTTGGAAAACTATAGTAGTGGCCGAAGAACCAGAGAATGAAAAGTAAGGGGGTGATCCATTCTTTGTTTTCTAGAACATATTCAGCGAAAAGGATATTTTATCTGATCGGAATGTCGTACAAAATCTCAAGGGTTTTTACCAAGACAGCGAATAACGGAAGGTCCAGAGCAAAGAAAGGCTGTCAGACAAGGAGGGCGGCTACTCAATGAGAAGGAATGAACCCCCACGAGGACAAGACAGCGCAGGAGCCAGGGCAGGCATCATAGCGGCACGAGCTGCTACTGTTGTGTGTGGGAAAGTTGCCCTACCGACCGTCGGGGCGGGTAATGCCAGGGTAATTACGAGGGCGACCACGGCAAGCAGACCCGACAACTTGACCGTGGGAGGACCAAAATGAACCCCGTCGGAGTCGCGCCGAAGCCGTTTCAGCGGCCGCTTTGTTGGGCTAACGACCCTTGACCTTTTGACTGGCCACACATAAATATTGCATCGAGCATTGAATTAAGCCTAGCATCACATCCCATCAGCTTACTTATGCACTGCTTATGCGTGAAAGTGGTTTCTTAAGGTACTAGGTTCCTCGGCGTAGCTACCTCTTCCGACTGATTCGGTCGGTCGCAGCTCCAGGAATACGCACCACACACCACCACCACCCTACCTACTCCATACACAGCACACCAAACCAGACTAACATGGTAATTTTGTTAGGAGGCCAAAATAACACCCAGAGGACAATCATCATTATAGTGCTACCAATGTGGTGCTTGGCATCACGCCTCATTCTCAAAGACTAGACAAAGTGACAACAATTCAAGTTCTTCAAGACACTGCCTCCCATTCCCCCTGCTGGTTGCCATTATTGTTTTACAATCCCAATAACAATGCTTGGTATGTCTTGTCATTGCTCACTATTGCATTTGCCGAGACTTTCCCTAGCTGGGCTTAAATCTGGTGGTTCCTGATCCGGAAAGCGATGGTCTTGGCCCTGTGACGTAAGGTTTCCCCCTAGTCATGCTGTGTCACGGCAGTCTTGAAGGTTATCTCAGTCTGAAGCAGTAGTTACCAGTACCGTAGAAGCATCTCGTGTGATGCCGATGATGCGGGCCAGAACGACAAACTTGCCTGCTTGCTACAGACATCACTGGGAACTGCGAACCAACTGCAAGAGAAGTCTCGACGATTCTATCCCAGTTTCTCGGACCGACTAGACCCCTAACCCCCCTTGCTATGACGAGGTGAACTTGAGGAACTGAACTCTTCAGTACGTAGCACCAACTCTACCCCAGAGTACTACATTACAACGGCTACCACATCAAGAGAACCATGAAAATCAAAAAAAATTCCCCGACTGTGACCGGGATTCGATCATGACGCTCTCGAGTCCCGGAGAGTTTGATGGGGTTACAGCGACTGGCAATGGGACAAGCAGGTGGTTTCCATGTCTTCAATCTGCCACGCTCACCTCTCAAGGTTGGTTCCGATAACCGTACCCAGGAAAGCTGGTACCTAGATCGGTCCAAATGAGAATGATGAGTATATGAGAACCTCAAGCCATGCTACAGACCCCAAGTATGTTGTTGACCAGAAGCACCGCCACCTGATTGACAACAGCTGGGAGTGACAGTCGGTCTGGGCGGGAATAGTTGGCTCTTGGCTGTACAACATATTCGGACTCCAAGGTGATCAGAGATCAGACCATTGTTGCCAGAAATAACCAGATTAGATCTGAACTATGCAAATAAGGACTGGGAACTAGTAGTCATGGATCGTTGTTCAATGGGTTCCTCAAACAATAGCACGATCTTGGATAGTTTTGTCGCTGGTGGTTTGACAGCCGAGTTCTTGTCTTCCCCCGGGTAACTCCACAGTGATCATCCCAGGGATGGTCACCCAGGTAGCAGCCAATTCTGGAGATAGAGTTTCGTCTCATCCAGCAACTTGTCCATTCATCTCTAGGATCTCAGCCTTGGGGGCCACTAAGTTTATTAATTAGGCATTCCCGACAAGAAAGGCTCAGCATGTTCAGCGAGTGGCAGTGATGGGAAGTGTGAGAGAGGGAAAAAGGAAACAGGAAAACCCATCGGGATCGGCCTGGTATCCATACATACAGACCGATGCTCATACATACGCCGTACATACGAGACCCGTGCCAAGACCACCCCCAAATCCGGACTAGAAACGATCAAAAGTGCATCTCAGATCCCCTTCCTTCCCTTCAGGCGATCGTGCCGTCTTTCCCAGACTGGACTGTGTTGTGGATAGATTGTCTCCGGAAGAATGGAGACAAGGAAGAGGGAAAAAAGCAGTATGGCGATGATGACCAGATCCATGCCCGATGGCAAAGCAACTGGGACAAGCGGTCAGCGCCAGAACCAGAGAACTACACAGTAGAGACCCAAACTGCATCACTTTCTCTCTTATGACTGACAGCCGGGCGGCGGTTCACCGAGCTCAGAACCACGGTAGCGATCTCCAAAGCGGAGACCATCGAGCGGGCTAATTCCACCCCATCCACCACCAACGGGCTTACAATCAAAAAACCTGCACATCCACGGTCGCTGAGGATGGGGGGTGCAGCTAGACTGCTAAACGCCTCGCGAAGCCTTAAGTGCTGGGACAAGCTTCATGCGATTCAGGGATAACCCCCACTCAGTGCCATGGCTGCTCCGGGAGATGCAGCTTCCCACAATCGCAGCAGCCAATCTGCGCGTCTCGGGAATGTTTTTTTCTTATGCTGCTTTGCCCGCTTTTGCCTCGATCCCAGCAATCAGGACCGATCCAAATCTCAGCCAGTCATGGGAATAAGAAGAAAAACTGCTGGGGAAGTACTAACTATCGGCATTCCTTGGAGTAGTACTACTGTACTAGTACTGATCACTTTCACGAACCAACGGGGTCGGCCCATTTACACGATCCTTCGTTGCTCGTGAGTCTTACGACTCCAGTTGCCCTTTTGGGCTTTCCGGCCCTGGTTCATTTACTTGGTATGCTTGTTATTATTGTTGCTTACACGGCCTGGGTTGAAGGGCCAGTTTCACCCCCGTTACACATTGCATATGCCGCTGTTGGGGGAGGAAATGCGACCTTTGGCGACCCATGCTTGGCTACCACACACACACACTCTCTCTCTCAGTCCTCTCCGAAGGATCCTCATCCATGGCCGCCAACACGGACTCTCCGCACTTGGATCGAGCACAAGATACAAGGTACATGCTACTTATGTACACTTATGTTCCGAATACATCTGGTATATGTGCTACGCGGCCTAGAAGCCAAGATCGAAACAGACTTTCCGCAAATAAACTCCGACCGTCGACGGAAAGGAAAAACAGAATAAGAAATATAAACTATATACAATGATTCTTCCAAGTGCTCGTGAACAGCGTGCAAACTTTCGATGCCCATTGAAGAGCTGAAGATCTCTAGCTGAACAGCATGGCCGAGGGAAAGCAACCAAAACCCGAAGAAAAAGAAACAACGAAAAAGGGAAAGAAAAAAAAAATAAATTAATAAATAAAATTAAATCTCAATTAAAACCCAAACCCCAAAGTTGGCTCTTACAAGGATGAGAAGGGGAACAAGAATTTTGTACAGTAGGCAGGTATAGTCTGCCACCGCGACGGTCACCGGCCACCCGGAAGAGGAAATGCTATGTGGCATACGAACAACCGTCCTCAACCCCATCCGGTTCTTCCTCCCCCAGCCTTTTCTGGGATAGGATGGCTAGCTTGCATATTGGTGATCGAACCACCAGCAGCAGTCGGTGGAGATTCTGAACTGTCGCGCGTGCGAGTGGACCGCCATGAGATCGATTTTGGAGACGAACAGACCAGAGAGCATGAATGGGATTGTCTCTTTGGTGGGCGAATGCCTCAGGGCCACTTTTTCGGCGCGGTACTATGGTATAACTGCTACTGCTACTGTGAGAGGTTGACAGGCAGGCAGGCGCCGGGATCAACGCCGGATAAGAATAGCATTAACCTAACAAACACCGACTGAGCTACCCAGGATTAGGATTAGGATTAATACGTCCGCTTATCGACCTCCGCGCCCAGGATCAAAAGTCCTGCTGCGGTGGTGTCATTGGCCTGCAGCTAAGACGACTAAGAGTTAGAGCCTTGTACCTTAATGGCCGACGTCGGCCTAAGAGCGGTTTGTATGAGGGATTTTGTCTCCCTGGGTCGATGCCCTAACGACGCTGACTGGACGCTCGATGGCTTTCTCCTCCTCTTTGCCCTCTCCACCAGCACGGGACTCGCGCTTGGATTCGCGCCGGCTTCAAGTTGCGATGCACGACGCACCCAATCGAGTAATGTATGCCCCAGGTAAAAAAGTCCCAGCGACTCGCCAAACCGGCACGGCAACAAGGTGCCTTTTGCCTGTCTCATGGTCAGCTACCCGTGCGACAGCCAGCTTCATTCCGCCGACCCGGCATTGCCCACCTGTACCCCGTACAACCATCATGATTGATGGATGGGGGTCTTGGACTCGGTCAATTGGCGAATCATCGTTGACTCCCCTGGCTGTCGAACTAAACCCACCCCCGGACATCAGACACTCCATCCATGGCTTTCATGCGGATAAACGTGAGGCTGCCGCCATGACATATGCAAGTGCACCTCCCTCTCCGAGCCCATGACTGAGCGCATGGCATGGTCAGTCATGGAAGGATTCAGAACGTCGTCGACGTTAATCAGCCTACTCCTCGCTTCGATCCAGGTAACCACAATTACCATACCTCCCGTATACCAGGTATCGGGTACACGAAAGATAAGATGGTCGCTAATGCAGCAATTTAGTCGCACATGGGGGTTACGCCCTTGCTTCGGCTAGAACGAAGAAGAAGGGAGGCAACAAAGAACAAAGCCGTTGCAAAGATGAATAAAGATCCAGGTCCCAAGCACTCCATGACGGGCCGGCCTGCACGTCGAAAACTTACCGTGGTAGGCAAACGTCTAGAATGTGTCAGTGGCAGCATCGAGCCCGGGTCTTCAAAGGGATGGCAATGTCCTCATCAGTGAGCGCATGATCGACATACCACACTGGCTTGGGGGAGACACAGCGGATCACCCGAAACCTTCAACATCACAGACATCACAGCCTCTTGGGAGGGTCACGATTCCGACTGAGACGGCCAAGAGGGCCGCCAAGATGGCCAAGGCATATACATTTCACCCCATGCAACCATGAAGATGAGGGATCCCTTCAGCTGAGAGGCGGAGTTGAAAAACCGAGTGGTCCCCGTTTCGACTGCCCCTTGCTCAATGCTCATCCCTCTCCTCTGGACATTCCACGGCAGTTCTTGGCAACGTCCTGTGACCTTTCCCCAGTACGACGGAGAATTGCCGCCAAGATGATCACAGCCAAGTTGCGAACGACGCCTGTTGCGGTGGAATGAGCGAGCGTCTGGCTAGAACTTCCCCATGACAGTGGGAGCGGTCGGTCCCCGGTCTTTCCCGGAGTCCGGAGCAACAGCGGCCGACCTACTGTCCGCCCTCGACACATTCCTCCTCCTTGCCTCTCCAGTGCAACTGGTCCAAGAAGATCCCGCGTTGAGTTGGTGACCGGCCAAGGATGCCAAGCACCATTCCAAATACTTGGGCGAATGACTGCGGCTGCGGGATAGAGGATGGGGAAGGGATCTCAAGAGTAGAGACTGGCCGTTCTGAAAAGGAGTATCCCCCCGGAAGGTGGGAGATCATCGTCGATCATCTACTCCTATATTGCAGGATTGATCCTTGGCGAACGAATACCAAGCATGGCCACGTCGAAGTTTGCTCAGGGGGAAAGAGAGAGCGACTAGGTTATGTTGCAGCTTGAATCGTTTAGACATACCCAATTAAGGGGCTTTGGAAGAGGACAAGCTGTCCTGGTCCTCGGACACGTCTGTCCGCACACCACAGGAGAGACGATACCAAGTCAGAGGGTGTCTAAGCCTCATTGCATTACCGACTAACTTAAAGGAACCCACCCCTTCTCTTTTCTCCTCCGCTGATCCGGAAGAATAGCAACTCCGGCCAGCAAAGAGCATCTCGCGATTCCCTCCGAGCCGGCGATCGACCGCTCTTTTCTCAGGAGGACGCCAGAGGGGGAATCTCCTGATGGCGGAGTGGCCGTTTCTGCCAATAACAAACCCGCGATTAAAGTTCGTTCACGCCAGCACAGGTACATATAATAGTCTACCGGACTCCAACCAGCAGGTCGGTACCAATGCACTGCAGGGCCTTTGCAGCGAGACTACTGTACGGCGTAAGGGAGGGAAGTCAAAGCCCGCTGGCGATCGATCTGGTCATCGGACAGGGAGGTGGAGAGACAAAAGATAGAAAAGAGGAGACGTGTGTTGCCGCTTCCAGTAATCTTCTCGAACGTCTGTTGTTCTTTTTTCCCGCAGGGCTGCTGCTGATGATTACCTACTCACAAGCCTCCGGATTCGTTCGTTGATTCAGAACAGCATCTGATCATCGGAAGCATTATATCATCATGGAGGATTCCCAGTACTACCTCGGTCATACTTTGTAGTCGAGGGGGGTGGAAATGCGATCGGCCGCTCAACTGGCAGATGGCAGATGCTCAACCGACGTCATTCCCACTAACTATCCAACCACTCAAATCGATGAAGATCACTGACAACAGGCACATTAATATTGGTAAACCAATGAATAGCATCACTTGTGAACAAATCATTACTTCAGCCAACTACAGTTACATTAATAAAGAAATTCTCCTAAATAGTAACTAACGAACTACTTTGTAGTCGTTCCTCGTCAGCTGCAAAAATCTGTGACATCATACGAGTTCACCTCGACAAACTTTCTCTCCCTCCATCACCATTCAATAGTACACAGTATTATTACTTACGATAAATGGCTGATCTCCCACGTAAGCCATAGCTTACTCTACCACTACCAACTAGGAGTCGTAGTAGTACACCCTCCACTGTAACAGTAAATGTAGCATGAACATAAGCATAAGCATATCATCTTAACGAATCTTACTTTCATCATGATTAATATTACTAAGTAATAGTAACTAAATAAATAACCATGTATGTAAGTAACAATTCACTCGGATTTCAACTTTTACTTTACTGCCTATCAGTACTTAGTTAGTAGTACTGTCTTCCAGGTGTGACTTGATTTGCTTGGATGTTCCCAGATGATAGTAGCACCTAAATACTAGGCAGATGCATATACTATCATTTATATATAGTAGTACGACTAGTAGTAGAGGAAGTTTATTTTTATCATCATATCTACTAATAGTAGTATGATGATATCGTTGCAGGCCTGCTGTCGTCATGATCGCTGTTTACTTGTGCTCTTCTCTTACTTCTTTTTCTTATTTTCTTCCTTCTTCACCATGATGCATAATGCATAACGCATACATAATCCTGTACTGTACGTAGGCTGCTTCATATTAACTATAACCCATCTAGCACATTTACCAGACATAACCTATTACCAGACCATCATAACTATAATCAATAAAAAGCAAGGGGAGGAGGGGGGGTAGGGCATAGTAGTTGGGTAAGTGGGTAGTGGCAGTGACTTGGTTGGGTATATATATGGGCAAAAGCAAGTAGTAAGTTTTACCTGCAGCAGTTGAATACTAGTATAGTAGTGATATGATAAGTACTATCAGCCTAATGGAAACCCCCACTATCTATCTATCCTCAATGTACATAATCATATTGGATAATTTTGTCTCGTATCTTAGTTTTTTGTTTGCTTCTTTTCACTTGTCATGGGAGATAAGGCTTGTTGGTGAGGTGTTGTGTGTGGTTGGGTGGTCGGTGTTGGTTGATGGATGCCCCATTTGTAATAAGTATCTATCATGGATGTTGTTTAGGTTCTAAGTACTAGTTGGGTGATGATCTGGCTGATGAGATATAATGCAAGGAAGGGGGCAGGGTATATTACGTAGTGGTTTGGTGTCATTATTTGGGGGCTGGTGCTGTGTGATTGGTATGATGAATTAGTGTTGGTATACATGAATTAGACAATAGTGCTAAACTTGGAGACCTTCTGGTCTGTAGATAAACGCCTGAACAATGCAATAATCCCTATCATTATATGGTGACTTGCGTTCATAGATATCGTTTGTCCTTGTGAGCCTGCGTAGCAACTGCTCGGCGACGCTGTTGAGCCCGAGTCTGCCTCCACCATCGCACAATCACTTCCTTCGCCCATAGGATCCGATGCTGTGTTTGTACAACTGCGGCGCACTGTCTGGCAATGTCCCTTGCGACGGCTCGGCGCTCATCATCTCGACGCGTAAGGATCCGTCGCCATGCCGTCTGAAGTACTGTCGCGGCTCGCGCGCGTTTCGTAGCGGGCAGAAGCCGCGAACAGAGGAACGCGAGTGTTCCGATTGTAAAATCGCTGTCGACGATACGAGTCTCCGAAGAGGGGGCCACGAGTTTGGCTGGTCAATGTTAGTCGTTGTGAAGGGAGTAAGGTCTTTGGTAAACTCACCGAATTGTGCACTGCATCCCAGTGCTCGAAGGCGCGACTCTAGAGATGCTGTTCTGCTATAACTCTCGGGGCGATCCACGATATATCCCTCGTATTCGTCAACGATACTTTCGTATATCTTGCCATCGCTAAAGCTAGTGCTTAGATTGTCGAGTGGTACGCCCTTCAGATGTGCTAGAGTAGATGCCCATTGCTTAAGCAGCAAGGTTGGTTCGTCGCTCTCGTCATTCTTTTTTATGCACATGTCGTGCCAAATATTGTCCTCAGCATCCCCGTGACCGGCGTGAAGAGCAGCTTTCTGCCTGAGTCTTTCAATCTCCTTTTTGACTTCTGTCCAGTCCACCAATCCAGCAAGGCCCCATGTGCTGACCAGCTTCCACAACAACGCAATAGTCTTCTCGCGATGTCCGTCGACGATGTCTTCCGCGCGTATGTCTTTCGCGAGCTTCCTTGTTCCTGGTGCAGAAGCTAGCGCATCCAGGGCAATTTTGATGTTGAAAAGCTTTACTGTGCGACTTCTGCATGGGAACTTCAGATGATTCGATAGCGGGAAACTTCCGTTCGACAGTTCACCGGATAAGGTTGAAGGATAGAGTAACATTTCCACAACCCTTGTCAACCTCACACCGTCCCGGAGATCTACAGCAAGGTTGTCGACCCGGTAGTCATATTCCTCCAATGGATGCTGCTCATAACTCAGTTCACAGTCCAGATGGCTCAATGCTTTGATAATATCTCCGCATGATGGCAGCAGAAACCGACCCAGTGCCTGGAGAACTGCAATGGAGGACTTGACGGGCGACGAAGAGAGGAAAAGGCGTCGGGGAACGGCGGTCCCTTGACACATTCTTGCTTTGTCCAGAAGGATGACCATCATTATGCTTCGAAGAACAGTCCGACGGTAGGTCCGGCCAGCTGCACCGCCATCCTCTCCAACACAGGTCTTTTCTTGATGGTTAATGTCCTGGTTTTGTAACAAGAATGCGTCTAGAAATCCTTCCAACCTGCGTTTCATCGCCTTGTCGTTATCCGAGGTATCGCTTTCATTAATCAACTTGGGGGTAGGTATCTTCCTTCCAGTGACTGCTTCCAATGCGGCTCGCAATGCTCGTGGATCGTAGGTCTTGATCCAAATATCCAAAAACTTTCGTTTTAAGCCCAGATCATTGTGAAGACGGCTACTGCGCATGAGTACGTCTTTCGGTATACTCATTGCGCCGTATAACAATGATGCTTGGAGACGTTTATGGAGGTATGCAAAAGATTCTCCCTGGTACAAGGCGAGGAGCTCATGTCGAAGCATGGTATGGTTGTCAATCTCCGATTCCTCATAAGTACATCGGAGCAATTCATTCACCAACTGTGTTATTGCCACCTCCTGGTGCGAGAGCCAGTTCTCTTCGTACAGTGCCGGGTTTGTGATGCTGTCAAGAATAACTGGACATTCCTGTGCGATAGGCTTCACATTACTGCGCGAAGTAGTTGGCTTGAGTATTGTGCTTGTTTTCGATGGCTTTCGGGGTGTAGATGAGTCTGAGCTTCGCATAGAACCGAGTCGGTTGTATTCTGATGTCAAACTTGGCTTCATGGTACGATGGTGCTCGGGTTTGTTCTGTTGTGATTTAGTGCTGTTCTGGCTGTTGCTCAGTACATTGCTCCTATGAAGTGTGTTGTTTGTCTTGGTAGATAGAGGCTTGGATGTAGGCTTCGCAGGGGCGTTTGTAGCACCAGCTCTTCTAGCCGCCATCGGAAGAGCATTAAGGCGGCTTCCCAAATCCCCCTTGATTTTCAAGGGCTGATTTCCTTTCTTGCCTTCAGCAATGACTGTTCCTGGAGGTACATTTTCCTTTCCGCCATTCTTCCCGGCAATATCGTGATGAATGCAGGACTCCTGCATTACTTTAGTGCTGGGTCGTAATGGGGCCCGTTGGGCAGACGAGGCGAGAGACCGCTTAGCTTGTCGCTTCCTGGCAATTTGTGACTCCAAGATGTTGACTTGGGTATCTTCATTCATACACTTCTCAAAGTCGTCCGACTTGAGCGGGCTAAAGAGACCCATGAAAACGCTGGCCACTGTACCGTCATCCGGGGGAATATAAACTGTATTACGGCGCACATCCATTTTGAGGCTTTCCTTTACTTTCCCCTGACCATCTGCTCCATTTATCCGCATTAAAAGCGCGTTGTTCTTCTCTGTGTCCGTTCTCTTAGTTGTTGACTTGTGAGCCAACCCTTCTTGTCGCAACTGCGTGTCTGGACTCGGACCGAAGCTGACTTTGGGACGAAATCTCTGAGCTGGCTGCGCAAGTAAGGATGTCTTGCGGCTCGTGGTTGGTGCTGCTATGCTTGAATCCCGCTTCGGTTTGTATGTGGGCTGTGTAGGTTTCTCTCCAAGGTCTTCGTGAATAGCAAAAGATGTACTTGTCTTAGTTCTTCGTCTGGGCTTTGCCCCTGTGAGAACTGACTGTTTGATTTCGGTCGTGAACTCGACATTAGCAGTATCGTCCCAGTTGCCCAGGCTATCTTCCCACATGCTGTCGGACGAGCATCTGTCGCTACCGCGGCTGAAGATTGAAGCGCTCGTCCTTGAAGGGCAAGGGGTCGTAGCTTCGTACAGAAAGCCGGACATATTGAGAAAAATGCAAGGAGAACCCTTTTGAAGTAAACTGGATGTTTAGGCAGTGCCTCTATTCCATGTGGATATCTCGTAGATAACTCCCCCGACTCCTGTATGGCGTGTCGGCGGTTCAATTGTCGGATGGGGGCTATGGTTTAATTGACAGAAAGGATAGAAGGCCTTCAAGTTATGAGATGGGATGACCTGTCAAGCTTCGGGGGCGAGATCGAGGCTAAGTCATAGAAAGTTTGGTCGAGGATGGGTCTCAGGTATGGAGACGCGATGTTGACGCTTCGTTGCCCGTGCAACGGGAAGGGGTTGACACCTTAGGCAGAAATTTTAGATGGCAAATCGAGTCGCTCTCGATCAAAGTAACTTCTGCCTGGCAAAGGTCATTGAACACCCTTTCACGAGGTGACTCGCAGTGGATGCTACTTGACTTAGTCTCCCACATTCTTCACAGGTCCCATGCCGCCACTGGCTGCATTTCTAGAATACTATTTTAGTCCCTTTTGGGTTAGATGTCGATCACATACAAAGCCCCAACGGTGTCCACTGAGGAGTAACTAAATAATTTGTTGCTGCACGAACAGCATCCTCTCGTATTCGTTTAACGCACCCATATACAGAGTATCAATTACTATCTCCTATGGCGGAGAGAGAGTTGGATTGATTGTGTAAGGAGACGTAAAGCTGCATGTAACTACCTGCGCCACAGAGCGAAATCGTCCTGTATGCTGTAGGGTCCGACAAGGATCCTCAATAGGCACTGTGCATGTGCATATGGCAAGGAGACATGGAAGTTGAAAGGTAATATTGCCGCCTCTGTCTCACCTTGTTATTGCCCTCCAGAGCTTCAGCGCCAGGCTGTGGTGATGGTTTCTGTGGAAGGAAAAAGTAATGAGCCACTTGAGACAACCTCAATGCAGCGTCAATAAATCATCTGCTAGTATTTGAGTTCTTGGCATTAAAGAGCCATTCTCCGAGGCTGCCTCAAATCCGAGCAACATGAAACAAGCCGTTTAAATGTGTACCCCGAGGGTAATAATGGTGACATCCGAAATCCCACGCGGGCTCCAGCATATGCTTGATGCTGAAACCTCGGTCTGCCGTAGTTCACAAGACGTCAGTTCCACCCAAGTTTTGGTTGATGAGGGGAAAGTCAAAGCACAGACTTGGATCACCCCCTCGCTAACTTGTGTGATCACCGTTTGAATCCGTTGGGAAGCCTGGGGTGCACCCCATCGCGAGCGCTCACTGGGTGGGAAACGAGATTGGCAGTGCCCTGGAGGAATAATCCGCCAGATCGAATCGAGGCGAATGATTCGCACAAGGGAAAAAGCCCACCGAAACGGTGGGGGGCGCCTATTCTTTCTTAGTGATTTTTGGTTTGCAGGTACGGAGTAGAAGAAAAGAACGGACAAGGCCGGGCGGCCGCCGGAGCAAACGCCAGCTCCGATTCGAGCAGAAAAGGGAAGCGCAGGCAATCCAGTTCCCCAGACACACGCATGGTCTGATCTTCAACGTGGCCGCTGCACAGGCACCGTCGTTCGGGCTTCCTCTTTGTTCCTTAACCAGTGTCTCCATCTGCCAGGGGTAGATTGCTATGTATATCCTGCGCCGTCCTTAAACCCGCTTACTATACCTATTACCTCCTCTTGCGTATCCACTCGCCCTCCCTTACAACCCGCCGCGCCTCGGATTTCTAACTAGTTCAACCTGCATTTAGCTCGTCGCCCTTCTTCCCCCCCGTTCCCATTCGATACTAACTTGCTCCTCCACTCCATCGCCCTCTCCTTGAGTCGACTTTCCCACGCGCCCCATTGGACTGTCGCGGAGATGGGTTTGCGATAATTCGCACCTGAACGCGCTTGAATCTCACACCTGTCTCAACTCTATTGTTCGAATCTCCCGCCTTGGTCCTTTGTCTCCCCTTCCTTGTCTTACAACATCCGCGTTTCTCCAACCTTCTCTCTCATCGCCACCATTACGGAATGTTCACTGGTCATGGAATCACTCGTCTATGAGAACTCGCCTTTGGCGGACTACCTCCAGGGTGAGTTATCCCGATTCACGTGTTGGGGGGAATCACAAAAGCTTATCTGTTCATACGTCAGGGGAAGGTGAACACGACCCAAGTTGGCCTGTCAAGGAGGCAGACCATAGCGATGATTTCTCCGACTCTACGGCTGCGGATTTTGCCCCACGAGGAGTTTCGAAGTTCCAGGAGCGTATTCGGAATAAACTGCCCAAGCCTCTCGAACGGAAAGTCTCGCGACAGCGGGCAGCACTGGGTCGACTCTATGATGTCTGCACGGTATGAACACCCCACCCGATGCCTTGGCTGCGGTCAATACTGATGGAACTGTCTGGCACAGTCTGCTCTGAATTCCCGCGTTGGGCGAAGCGACAACGAAAGATTCCTGGAACAGTTCGGCTATGTTATCGTTGCGTCTCAGCTGCTGAACGAACACAGTGCGCCGTCTTACACATCAGCTGCAGATGTGATGTCCACGGCTCTTCCAGCAGATCTCCCGTCAATTTCCACAACGTTTGGCATACAAGGTGCTGTTGTCACGGCTTCGACTTCTTTCTCCGTCGCTTGGTTGTTACATTGGAGCCGGTCTCGAACATCGTCTGGTCTTAATCCTCGGAAAGTCGGAGTTTTGCTGGTTCTCGTGCCCGTAATTGGGGTTCTGTTCTATGCATTCGCCAAGCGACAGTGGCTGAAATATTTGCGCCATCAAGCTGTCGACGCAGCTGTGACTTTTATTAGCAACGCCCAAGGGTTTGACTCTGCCGCTTCCGCGTCGGTTGTATTCATACAGGAAGTTGAGCTGGTCTCAAGAGGCTACCGCATGTAAGTTGCTCTGACTGTCAGCTTGGGAGCCAAAGATCACTAATCCATCGAGTAGAAGCACGCCGTTGCCCCCAGTAAGCAGACTTGAAGATCAGACGCAAACACGGCGATGTCTGAGACTGCGCCGAACCGTATCGGAATCGTTCTATCTCATGCTGGGCCAGTACATTCGGGCGCAGCATACCCTACGCCCACTTACCGATGCCACCAACCTTGCCAAGTATTACGATATCTACGACATATCAGAGGAGGAGCTTATGGAGGCCGAGGCAGCGTTCGATGAGCGAGCCACCGAAGACCAGTACTCTCTACGTGCCCTTCGCACACTTTTCGGAAGACTCTACATCGTGAGAAAGAGTATCCTCTGCTGTCTCCTCGCGCTCGGCGCGGATGGCGGCGGGTCCGATATTGCTAGATGGACCACGGCAGTCGAGCAGATGCGGGACCTGGCCCATGTGACCGGCGAGAACATTCACAAGATGACCAACATCCTCAACGAGGACGATCGTAAGTACCAATCCTCGACACAATCCATGCTAAAGCTGAACATTGTGTCAGGTGATGTCATTCCGCCTTCTCCGCTACCAACAGCTTCACCCAACAAGGACAATCTTCGTGCACAATACCGAAATATCAATTCACTCTCCCAGGGAATTCGTGCGCTTCACGCAAAGATGCACATCCTCAAGGAGGCATCTAGTTCTAATCTCGAGCGACCGGATGCTGGCGAATTCGAGGCGAGCCTCATGCCCCAGTATGAATCGATTGGAGCGGACATTAGAAGCCTCCTCCAGGAGTGGGAGTCGGGCAAATCCGCATTGATGAGTAGCTTGGAAAAACCCGCAAATCCGGAATTTTCGCGACCCTCGAGCTTTCTGAAAACACCCCTGTCACCCACACCCAGCCTTGGAGGTTCTACTGCAGTCGAGGGCAGCCCTGCAGACGCCCTTAGAGCGTTGACTGGGGAAAACACAGATCCGAGCATCGTCCATACACTAGACGATGAGGAGGAAATATTTGAAGCAGTGGCTCTTCCGGCTCGGAACAAGAGGATGTCATTAACCCGAGAAGAACGAATCGCACGAGTCAAGGAAGATAGAGCACGACAAGCAGCCGCTCGGGAGCGCACTGATGCCAATACAAACATGCTCAAGGAGCTAGAAATGGTAATCAAGCAACGGCCTCGTACCACAATAGCTGCGAAACGTGTCACAAGCATTTGATTTCGCCATCATTCGACGGCATCCTTCCAACCCTATCTCCTCTACCACCACCTCGATACTCGATTCCCTTCCCTTCCTCCTCCCCGCATATAACCACCTAAGCTTTACTCTACCTTGAGCTGGAAGCCGACTCTTCCTAGCAACCTTTGCAGATTGATACCCAGAAATGTATAGAGCGGTCCGGTGTCAGCGGCGTTAAGGCAGTTTTGCATTCTATCTCAGCCTGGTTACTTACTGTTACTTTTTTCCCCTGGCGGACTCCCGTGGGGCCTTACAATCGCTGATACTGTATATCATGTTATTATTTTTTCTTGACTCATCTCTTCGTCTTCCTGTATACTCACTATGCTTGCCGAAGCAATGCTGGCAGCTTTTGCTCGATCTCGTTTGTTCTGTATCATCAGCCCTTGTGTACATATTCTACATTCTAGCGTAATTATTTGTATCGATACCGTACTCAATGACGTCTGAAATATACTGTTTTACTCCATTGATCCAGGTGTATTCGATCATATAGATTGTGTGATTTGCGTAGTACGATGGAAGGAACTTCAATCCTGTGTTACTATGACTCGACCACTGTACGTCGGCGAAGTATTTGCAATCATCATGAAGTACAGCCGCAATTAACATTTCATCAGAGCTTCAGGCATCTCTTTCCGCCTCCTGTAGGCGTCGGTATTCCCCCTTCACGATATCCCGAAGCTCAGATTCCAGCGATGGCGCAGACGGCTGCCACCCCAGCAATAGACGGGCACGACTGGCCCGACACCGTGAATTTAGCCCCCAACTAGCAGCTTCATAGCCTGCCCATTTTTGTGCCTCCTCGAAGCCGAAAGCCTCCTCTTCGGCCGATGGGATGAATCCTTCCGCCACACAAATTCGTCCAATTGAACGGGCCAGCTCACCCCAGCAATGCTCCCCATTCTCACAGAGGTAGTATGCCTCCGGACCCCAAAGCCCATCATCTTGCTTTGAAAGGGCCCTTTCGAAAAGAATCACATATAGGTTGGTCAAATCATGAATGTGGATATCGGTCCCGAATGAGAGGCCCCGGCCGATTATGGGAACTTTCTGTCGTTGGATGGTCAGTTTTGCTAGCTCATATATCTGTCTGCTGCGTTGGGAGCAAGGTCCTCGGCCTTGACCTAGATTATAGCAGTAAATTAGTTGATTTCATGCCCTTACATTTTGGTTTCTACTGAAGCTTACCGTAAACAGTTACCGGGGATATGATAGCAGTCTTCAGAACTCCTGGACGCACCGATCCAGCCTCAAACACCGCTTTATCAACATCTCGGTGGAACGCATGGTCAGGGAAGTTCACAATCTCCTTAATGTCCTGCACGTCGTCATAGATTTTCTCGCCTTTCTCCCCATATACCTTGGTCTCGGTGTCTAAGAACGAGAAGATCCCGGCACCACTGGTATGCAACCAATAGACGGGACGTTCTTCAGTGTGTCCTTCTAGAGCACCCTGAGCTATTGCCTTAGCTGCGCCAAGGTGGTCAGCAGCATCGGCAGTGTCTTTCATACCGGTAAAGTCAGCTGGTAATTATTCCTTCTGGTGGATAGTATATTAAAAAGAAAACTGAATGTGTCCACTAACGGATGATGATATCGGCCCTAGCACTTTCTGCGACCAGCGTCTCTGAATCATCGAGACTGCCTTGTATAATCTCGACAGTAGGATATTGTGCCTTGATTTTCTGGCTGCTGTCGCGGCTTCGAACTAATAAGCGGTAGTGCAGGTCGGGGTACTTGGATACAAGTACTGATAGAAGGTCGCCGCCGATGTAGCCGCTGGCTCCTGTTCTGTGGCTCGTGTAAGCTATCTGGGCTATGCATATTCTATCAAAGTGCTTTGGTATGATGAGCGACTAACATGAATACTGTGGTCATATTTAGATCGATTTTGCGTTGGAGTTTTAGTTTACTGTCACTGTAAAGAGGGGGAAATAATCGTTCGAACAAGTTCACAGCTGATCCTAATATTTATACAACTTAATAGCTCAGTGGCCTGTAGTGCATGCACTATCTCTCCTCTGAGTTGTTCGAATGTTTGTAATCATCTCCAGACTGATTGCATTTGTAATCCAGCCATTACCGCGGAAGAGGACTTACAAAGTAAAGTCCATCTTCCCTGTCTTCAGGGATCCAAATTCCGCATTCTCCACATGTCCCTCCCTCCAGACCAATGGGATATTCATATGTCAACTACTTGCCTGCAGCTATCGAGCCATAGTACTGCAAGGCTAGCAAGAAGTAGCATTATCCCAGTTGTGATGTAATGCAT